ATAATAAGTATTATTTTAATAGATTATAACTCTAAAATTACGCGATTTTTAAATTTTCTTTTTTATTAAAAATTACTAACTAAGTATAATTAAATTTTTTTTTAAATTTTTTAAATATATTTTATATATAGAACGAAATAAATTTTTAAATAAAGGATTTCTCTTTACGCGAAAAGTAATCGATATATATATAGAAATTTATTATTTTAAATAATAAATATAGAAGTAAATCTATTTAAAAAATATATATTAAAATTCTAAAATTCTTAAGTTTTTTTATATATTTTTTTTAAATTTTTTATTTTAAATAATAAAAAAAATTAATTAAATATTTAATTTTATTTAAAATATCTTAATTCTAAATAGATTAATTCTAGGATTATTTATAAAATTTTAATTTTTATATATAATATTAATTAAGTAATACTATTATTTTTTTTAATTTTTAAATTATATTAATTATTTATTATAGAAAATAAAATTATAATATAAAGTTCTCTTAACGTCGACGAGTTAAGAAAATAACTTTATATATAAACTTTAATATTTTTTTAAAAAATAATTATAAGATTAAATTTCGCGTTATAAGGAGCGCTATATAGCTCTAGCTTAAGACTATTTAAATCTAAATAAATAAAGAAATTCTATTAGAAAAAAAAGCGTATTTTATTTAAATATAAAAGTTATAATAAAATACGCCTCCGCGCTAAGAGCTATTCTAATAAAATGCGGTCGTATTTTATTATACTCTATCTAATAGAATATTATTATAATTTAATTTATTATCTCTATTATATTAAAAAATAAGAGAAGAAATTATAATAAATAAATATAAAGAATATTATAAAGAATATTATAAAGAAATTAAGTAATAATAAAACTATTATCTTTAAGAATACGATTTAGCTCTCTAAGATTTTACGTTATATACTCTCTATAATTTTATATTAAATTATTATTTAATAAGCGAAGAATATTATAATAACTTAGTTTATTATCTTTATTATATTAATATAATATATTATTATAATAACGTTATAAAAGAAGAATCTACTATAATAATTATAGTTAATTAGATCTCTATAAAAGAAATATTAAATAATATATATTTAAATAAATTAAAATCGTTTAATATCTATAGCTATTTTATTATTCGAAAAATTTTACTATAATAAAAGATATTATAAAATTTATACTATTAATTAATATATTATTTTTATTTCTTTTTAATATTTTAATACTTCTTATTATAAGAATATAGTCTTTCTCTATTTTTTATAAATAATTATTATAAATTAATTTTTTATATTATATCTTTCTAATTAGATCTTAATATATCTCTCTCTATATATATATATTTATAAACTATATAAAATAATAAAATAACTTTATATTATATTAATATTATATAATATTAAAAATTATTTCTTTAATAATAATTCTAATTAAAAAAATAGATTATAAATTTAATTTATAGATTTAAACTTATTATTTAATATTAATATATCTAATTAAATACTTTTTTAAATATAAAGATATTAGTATATATAAAAGAATAAAATAAAGTTAAGCTTAAAAATCTTAAATTTATATATATAATAAGTAAAGATTTATAAATTAAATTTATAATTTTTTTTTTAATTAAAGCTATCGAGTAAATTTAATAAACGATCTTTAATAAGCGAACTTTAATAAGCGAACTTTAATAAGCGATATTTGAATTTCTTACGCTTTAATAATTATAAGATTAAATTTAAAAATTCTTTTTTTATTTAAAAGCCTATATTTTATTCTATAATTTAAAAAAAAATCTTAAAAATTTAATAGAAAATAAAAAAGTTATTTTAAATATTAATAATATATATCTATTATTTTTTAATTAGAGCTATTCGACTATCGAGCGAACTTTAATAAGTAATATTTAAATTTCTTACGCTTTAATAATTATAAGATTAAATTTAAAAATTCTTTTTTTATCTAAAAGCTTATATTTCGTTCTATAACTTAAAAAAAAATCTTAAAATTTTAATAGAAAATAAAAAAGTTATTTTATATATTAATAATATATATCTAATTTTTAATAAGAAGGCGCGAAAGAGCGAGATTTTAATAATTATAAATACTAATTTATTTACTCGCGATAACTTAGTTAATCTAATTAAAAAGCGTAGCGAACTCGAATTTATAATTAACTATATATATAAATTTAAGATTTTTAAGCTTAATTCTATCTTATTCTTTTATATATATTAATTAATATAGATTTAAATTCTCTATACTTTTTAATTAGATCGATTAAGTTATCGTAAATAAATAAATTAATATTCGTAATTATTAAAATCTTATTCTTCTATATTAAGCGCGTCTCTCTTATTAAAAAAATAAAAAAATATTATTAATATATAGAATAACTTTTTTATTTTCTATTAAATTTTTTTAAATTTTTTTTAAAAAATTTTTTTTAATTATAGAATAAAATATAAACTTTTAAATAAAAAGAAGTTTTAAAATTTAATCTTATAAGTATTAAAGCGTAAGAAATTTAAATATCGCTTATTAAAGTTCGCTCGATAGCTTTAATTAAAAAATAGATATATATTATTTAATTTTAAAATAACTTTTTTATTTTCTATTAAAATTTTAAGATTTTTCTTTTAAATTATAGAATATAATATAAGCTTTTAAATAAAAAAAAGAGTTATTAAATTTAATCTTATAGATAACTAAAAGTAAGAAATTTAAATATCGCTTACTAAAGATCGCTTATTAAAGATCGCTTATTAAATTTACTCGATAGCTCTAATTTAAAAAAACGATTATAAATTTAATTTATAGATCTTTACTCGTTAACTATTAATAAGAGTATAGCGAATTTAAAAATTTAAAAAAAAAAAAATAAAAATTAAATTTTTTTAATTTTTTATTTTTTTATTTTTTTTTTTATTATTATATTATTTTTTAAAAAAAAAATAATTAATTATTATTTTTTTATTTTTTTTTTTTTATTTTTTTTTTTTTTTTTAAAAAAATTTATTTATTTTTTTTTTTTTTTTTTTTATTATTTTTTTTTATTTTTATAATTTTAATTTTTTTTTATTATTAATTAAAATTTTTTTTTTTTTTTTTTTTTTTTATTAATAAAAAAAATAAATATAATTTTAATAAAAATTTTTTTTTATTTATTAATTAAAAAAAAAATTTTTTTTTTTTTATTTTAAAAAAAAAATAATAAAAAAAAAATTAAAAAAAAAAAAAAAAATTAATAAAAAAAAAAAAAAAACCCCCCAACCCGGGGCCCCCCCGGGGGGGGGCCTCTAAAAATTTTTGGTGAAAAAAAAAGGAAAAAAATTTTTTTTTTTTTTTTTTCGGAAAAGGGAAAATATAATAATATCACACGACAACTAGGCAACACCCATGAATGGTATCGCTCCAAATTCGTGACGTGATGGCTGTTCCACCTCGCACAGGAGCTGAGCTTCTCCGACGGAGTTTCGAGAAGAAGAATAACAATTTTTACTTCCGTAATCGGGACGCAGCATGGAGGACACGCTTCTGGCTCTTTCTGTGCTTTTCGAATTCTTCATTCGAGTCCACGCGCTTTGACTCTTGCCAAGAAGGTATAATTTGGAGACAATGCTGAAGGTGTACTCAGTTAGAAGCGTTGGCGTTAAGGCCAACGTTGCTAATGATCGCGCTGACATGCTGAGAGCCCAATTCTGGTTCAGATCCTGTGGGCTTCGGCATACGGTGAAAGCAGTGGGGCGTCGTGAGCCACGTCAAAATTGAAGGACTAAGGCGTGAGTCGGAGAGAGTAGACGGATAGGTCTGAGAGAAGTTATCTTCTAGCAAGTCAAGGTATCATGATACAACACGTTGCAATCAGTGATTGCTTGACAAAACGGAGAAATACTCCTAGCGAGGAGAATAGCCGAAAACTACTGAATTCCAGACGCCGCTAGCAAAGCAACTGTTATTTACAAGACGTGGTACTCAACGTCTTGTTTCTGAAGTTGGCAAGTTTGTTCCCTCTACCCATGACATCTAAGAGGGAATGTAACGGCGATCACAACACCAGAGAAGATAACTTCACTGATGGCCGGAATTTTGTATGGGAACATGTCGTTAAGGTTAAACTACCATGCTTCGTGCAAGCCGCAGACAGCAGACTCCATCTAAGAACAACTAGTATCTCGTTGCGATCGACACTGTATTGCTAGCAGGCACATTTCATTAGCATGTCAATTTTTCATTTGTTGGGAGTCTCCCGAATAGACGGATCCCAAGGAGGCAAGTTGGCATCCATTGTACACGTAACATAATTCAGCAGAAGCCATCGCCACATCATTAGTTCATTAGGTATTATACAAGGTTGACAAAGAACTCTTTCCCACGACTCTAACAGGCCACAGTAGGTTTTCGGTCCATGAGAGATTTTCAGAGCTCAATCGCCATGCCGAGTCCAACAACCAAGACTGAAAGTAAGACAGGCGCCTGCAAAGACAGCATCGCGTCCGACTTGGAGGTCGCTGTTGGAGATGTCGTCGCAGATTGACTGGATGATATCAGATGACGAAGATCTTAGAAAAGCCCCAGAAGACCTACCTGCTCGTTGAAAAAATGGTATCGCCACCTGCACTTGCACTTTCACCTGCACTACTTTTGGAGACACATGGCCCGACATTATCCGGCTGGCTATTCCAGCAAGCCTCAGCCTGCTGGTCACCGAACTGGCCATCGGCGGTACAAGTCAATGCCCATGCGGCCAGCACCGTGACATCCAGGGTCGTACTTGGGTTTGAATCCTCACAGCCTTGGCACGCGTTCATTTCGGTAACGCCGGATTTGGAGGTGCACATGCAGTGAAGGGTAGTGGAATCCATCGTGGTGCCAACTGCGGTGACGTTGGCGCTGGTGGTCTGGCACGACTGGAGCGCGGCGGTGTAGGAATCACAGGCGGCGCATTGGGCGGTGATGAGTGTGGGGAACAGGGGCAAGAGGAGAGCGACGGCGGAAAGAAGGCGGAACATTGTGAGTTGGTATAAAGACTAGGTAACGACTGGAGACAGCAATTGCGTTTAGAATAGTGCCAGCATTGCAGTACGAGGGTCTCAGTTAATGAAAAGTTGCAGGTGTCTAGGAAAGACCTCGAATTTTGAACGCGAGATGGAGATGGAAAATATCACATCAGAGCCTTCACCCGCAATTCGTGCATGGAGGAATGTGGAGCTAAAGGCTGACCGCCTCCATTGTCTGGAAATTTGAATATAAATGCAGTTACGTATGCCGCAATATTGCACCCGCGTAAAATTTCCTCTTAACGGCGCTGAATGGGGCGGAAATCTCAGCTGAACGGGATGTGACCGTTTTGCCGGGCTCAGAGGCAGACACCGTCAGAAGTACGCGATCTTACTAACGCTTTTTGAAATATGGCATGTGAATGGCGTCCTATCGGAGCGTCAACCAGATGGTAGGCCTAATGGTCTAGACTACATTCCTCAGTGGGGGCTGGCGTCCGATCTTCATCTGCTTATGTTCAGCACAGGGCGAAAGAGCGAAGAGCAGTGACCAGGTCCACAGAAGGCACAGGAAGCCTCCTTATTGTTTCAATGGAAATGTACCGTGGAATACGAGAGTACGTATGATGATGCTTTGAAGTGGGAGATAGAGATCATCATCACGAGGAGATGCGATTGGGGAGAAAACTGCCTAAGCGAAATTTTCAGCCTTGTTACGCGTTCCCTGTCGTCTTGGCGCTCATGCAAAGCCTTGCCGCAGTACGACATAATACACCATCTTTTTATTCACCCAGCTATATTCTGCTAGGATTCAAGTAGAAGTTGCCGTCCCCCACACAGGCTTCACTTGCATTTCGAAAAGGTCCTCTTCCAGTGTGATCGTGGTAGAAATGACTGGAGCTTTATTGGGGGCGTAAGCCCGGCTATCTAATACAGCACCGAAAGGCAGCCCTGCAGTACCAGTAGACGGTCCTGGAATTATCTCCTAGAAGCGAACCAATTGATATTCAGGGTTGAGTTTAGCGCGTGAACCGGGCATTTTGTTCGGCCCCAGTCTGGGCTGGGATCTTTGCGAAGCTCATGTCGGCGCATTATTATTATTCTCCAGGCAACCCTTCAGGCGGGGCATTATACGAGAACTTAGCGTAGGAGTCTTAGCGTGCAGGACTTTCGTTTCCGAGTCGCAACCTTCCAACGTGTCCTTACACACCACCCTCACCGTCAACTTTGTCGGTACTTGGACCTGGTAGACAGAAGCCCGGCCCCACCCAGTTATGAGTGGATGGAGGAGTTCACGCATAACGCCATCGACTTTCAAGCATGGGAGTTTGGTACGCCTTATTCCGACCGGCACTCCGAGGACTGTGCCCTATACAGAGCGGACAACACCACCATGTCAGACGAAGGCGTGCCCGCCGTATACGGCCCCTTCAAGACGCACGATGATGAGCCCAGCTTCTTGGTTGGCTTCGAGACCAAGGACGGATCGGAGATGATGTGAGTGTATCCATGACAGCATACATACCTGTCTTTGCATGTGGAACAGACGGCTTCAGCACGGGTCCCACAAGGGTGGACAGTTGGGATTGTTTGCACATTCACCCAGAATCTTCCTTTACCACTTGAAAACGTGCGTTTGACACAGAACATAACCTGTACGCTCTCTCTACTGCTATAATCTGGTACGAATATGGTAACTGAGATATCGCCCAAGCAGCAAACATTTCGTTTAGCTTTCAGTTCTCTCTCCGGGAAACAGCTGCCGTAGCAAAGTAATGTTGACTCTTCCATTTCTCCCGCCCGGATTCCCACCCTCGCCCCCACTCCCACTCTCACCCCCACCTCCACCTCAACCTTGCCTCCGGTAAATTGGTTTCTTTTACACAGTCTTTTCATAATATTGAGGGACTCAAGACTACTAGGACAGATACTGCTCACAGATCAAAGCTGGACATACATTAGCATCTCGACGCAGTCTTCGCCTCGTGACATTGAAGACGCAACTACGAACCGTTATCTCTCAACCCGTGCGACTGTTTCCGAAGTGGCGTTCGGATTCGGGCACATCAATATGTTATGAATCTCCTTCATCGCGATAATGATCACGTCCGAAGACCCGAGGGGTGAAGCAAACAAACTGCGGCATAGCCAGAATCTCCTCTTATGTTGCATGTGCCAGGATCTGTAGAAGAATGGGCAATGGACTCACTTGACCGCTTCATGAGACGCAGCGAGGCTTTTGCTCGGCATACTTCCTGCGCTGCTTGGCGCAACCATCACAAGTACTACCGCTCGCACCCCTCTCTTCATATCCTCTCCATGCTCCTCCATGATTAGCATTGGTAAAGTAGTTCGAAATAGTCCACGAAATCTGGCTAATTTGTTTCACCCAAAACATCAATCCTTTTGATACTAATTCATCATACTCATCAAAATATCAGGAGTCTGGACGAAACAGGATAGAGCCAAACGATTAACCTCCAGCTCTAGAAACCAGAAGGAATTCCCCTATGTAACAGCAAAAATTCCAATTCTTACTACAGATCCATCTAAAGGTAGCGCCTTGGTCTCCGCTTTTATAATGTCACAGAGTTAGAATCTCTCCTCTCCTGCCTACCATGTCTCTAATCCTTCCATCCGCTTCATACAACTCCGAAAACCGCTAGGTAACACAAGTCCAACCGCCCATCCGGACGAGGCACCATCCCCCCTTGCGATATCGGAGGCCCAGGGGGATCCTTTTTCTTGGGAGTAACATCCTTGCGACTGAATGCTCTCCTCAGGGAGTAAGGGGACACGTATGTTCCTTCCATTTGCGACACTTCCTCGGGCGACGGACGAGATGTACCGTCTTGGCCGCTGCTCTCAGCAGCTGAGTCGGCCTTGACTATTTGATCAGATTCGCCATCTCGGCCATTGGTCTGAACACTCTGGTCTGTCCCACGTGGCTCAATGCCCCTAGGTTCCCGCCGGCTGTCTACAACAGCGTTCTTCGCTCCGCGCGGCTCCTGACCTTTAGCATCTTCCTGGCCAGCACTTTGTTCTAGTCTGCCCGTGACTTTTGTCTCTCTGACCCCAGGCAGAGAATCGCCTTCTTTCGCACTTCCCGTCTCAGAAACAGCGGCGTGTAGCTCCTTCGTCATGGGGCCGAAAGCATTCGTCTCAGCATTACCCTCCAAAGTGCTGGTCTTAGCTCCAGAAAATCGCCCAAATAGTGGACCCTTTTCCAAGTCCTTTGGCGTATATTTTCCGATGCCACTCACATTCCAATCCCTTGACAACTGCACTTTGGTTTCCTTCTTCTCCGGTGCAGGAGTCGGCTTCATTGAGGGCCCAAGAGACAGACGTGCCAAACCGTTCCTCAAACTGAAGGGACCTTCTACAGTGAGAGCCTCGTCCATGTCTATGGCTTTTGTACCTCGACCTGGCTGTGTTCCAGTTGAAGAATGAGCGTTCAGCGTTTGTGCTGCGTCCTTGTCTTTACCTCGAGGAGCGATAGAACTGATCCAGTTTCTCACCTTCGCAATATGGACTTCTTCTTGGGCTGTGCGAAGATATTGGCTCTTGCTCGACTCGCCTTTTTTGCCCAAAATTTCAATAGGGCGGATGGTTGGGCTAACAGGCGTCCAGACAGGCGGGACTTGTTTCTCTCCCTTGGCGAGAAGGGAGCCCAGGTAGGTCGTTGGGGGGGGCTCTGGTTGGTAGCCAGCCACCGTTTCCTGGCCAGCCCGAGCCTCTCGAAGCCCAGCTTCGGTATTTGTCGATTGGGTCAGCTTGTTGTGATGTGCGACGAGTGAAGGTGCGATGACAGCACCCGTACCAATCTCATCCGCCGCATCTCCTGGAGATAAGGATGGTGATTCAGCCCGTAGCATAAGTCTGGATGGCTTGAGGGACCGTTTGGCCGCGTCTGCTACCTGCATGGTCACACCGGAGGACCTCAAAAGGCGTGGACTCCTCTGCCTGTGGCTGCCGAGCCGCATCAAATATGAAAAGAGTAGTTTGCGGCTTCGCCATGCCTGTGAGCCCAGATTTGCACCCTGACAAAGAGAGTTTTATACGACTGTGGCAGCGATTGTTCTTCGTTCTGAGTGTTTTGGCCGATAATTTTCTGCATATCCTCCGTGACCATCGAAAATGTGTTTATATTGGGTTTGAGGTGGTGGTGTCGTTTGTGGAGGACGTCCAGCAAGGTTTGGAGAGAAATGTTTTCCTTCCGCAGCCTGCGTGAAAGGCATCCACGCCAAGGCTTGTGAAATCGACCCTGCTGGCTTGAATGGATTGGGCGACTAAAAGAAACAGCTACGATAGCTTGCGGAGATAGTCTGTAATTATTTGGCTCAGGGCAGGAAACGGATAGAAAGAAATTACTCAGCGTTTTGTTCTCCAAAAGTTTGGTGGGATTAGCCTCATCAATGATGAATATCCTCAAATCGATCGATTATGGCAAAAGTTGGATAGCAGACCGTTTATGAGCTCTGATCATACTGCATGTATCCGGCTTCACTAAGAAGATCATTTATCCAGATTTTTGTCACCTGATACCGTGACATTACGTTGACTGAATTACAGTGAACGGTATGGACCCCCATACTTACAAGGCTGATATAGTCATTACCTAGCCAGCAAATTACGACCTTCATAATGCTGTCGTAGCCCATTTTGACATCCTAGCTATCATTCGTCGATAATGTGAGATGCTTTGAAAGGTTGGCGGCTACCACCAGAGTGTTCGCCCTCCGTGATCCAGCTCAGACGAGAATGTTCTTGCCTTTGTTCACTCGTGTCCAGCAAACGCGAAACAAGCGCTCAATCTTTTTAAAAGCCATCCCCATGGCACCTTCTTTTATCGTTTGCTTTATAACAGTTTTGGCAAAAGAGAAGATTCAATATGGCCTCTGAACGATATTTCAAGTTCCTACTCTCAGACGAATACGATCCAGCCGGCGATAGCCCGTATAAGTTTCGCCAGAATTACGACCAACTAGCAGAGCATCGCGATCTTCTGCGAAATCAGTCCAACGCCAAAGAACAAACGCGTGCGGCAAAAAGGCAGGCAGAAGGCCAGTGTCCTGGCGGAGGTTTATCATTAAAACACTCTGAGCTGACAGTTCTGTAGCATCCGCCGCAGCCTCTGACATGGAGGGAACACGATTCAGCGTACTTCCTGACAACGATAACGGTTCCACGATCTCGCCTTCGACTAAGCAAAACTTCTCAGCCAGTCTTACCGTCGCCCAACTGAAAAGAGTCACTGTAGATCAGCGTAAGGCAGAAGTAATCAAGGTCAAGAGAGATATCCAGGCATTGAAGAAAGAGAAGAAAGCGAAGAAGGACGCGGCAGCCGCAGAAGCAAAGGAGAAAAAGGTTCGAGAAGAAGCCAAGAAGGAGAAGAAGCAAGAGGAAGCAGAAAAGGAGGACCAAGACGCGGCAAGCGAGTTGGATCTTGGGCAGGATTGGGAGAAAGTCAACCGCGCTGGCAAGCGATGAATATGCGACAGGATCTTAGAGCACGTGTGGGATAGACGCATGCAACCCAACTAGATGCACTACTTTTTTTCGTCTCAAGACTAGATTTCGTTCTCACGCACCGAAACGGAGAGCAGAGGCAAGATTTTTAATCACATAAACTTTGAAAGCGATCCATTTGTACCATACGCCTGCCTGCTAGACTTCCAAATTCCATCAAAGATTGTCAGGGCAATCCTTGCCACAATTTCTGCTGCACACCTCTTTCAATTGACCGCCAAAAATAAAGAACCAATGTCCCAACCTTCCCATAGTGATTCACCTACGTGAGTACCACAATCTTCCCCCCAGCAGTATTCTCCTCCATGACCCGATGTGCCTCCACAATCTCCTCCAACCGAAAAGTCCTCCCAATCTGCACCGGCAAGGTCCCATCCCGCACCTGCCCCAGCAGCTTCTCCAGCGGCAACGCGTGAAAATCCTCCTGCTCCCCGCCATAGAACGCATACGTCGCCCCATCCGGCAACGCATCATCCGCACTATCCGCATTGTTCCCTCCAACCACCCCCACCTGACAAACCTTCCCACTTTTCCTCACGCAGCGAACCGAATCCGTGAGCGTTGACCCGACCAGCTCTAGGACCTATCGACGCCAGCGGGAAAGATCCCCTTCACTTTTTCAACAACGGAACCCACATCAACACCAACATGATCAACGCCACTAGCGCGAAGCAACCCCTCCCTATCAGTTCTCCGCGTCGTCGCCAGCACAACGACCCCCTGACTCTTCGCGATCGCCGCCGCCGCGAGGCCCACAGACGTCGTACCGCCCCGGATCAGCAGCGTTTCGCCTTCCCGGATGCCCAGATTCCGATTCAGTGCACCCCACGACGTCTGCAGCATCTCCGGCAGGGCACCGAGGACGTTCCACGGCAACTCCGTCCGGACGGCCCGCGCGTACTCCGCCTTCACCAGCGTAAACTCCGCGTACCCGCCATCGACTTGTCTCCCCAGGCCGCCCATGCACGTCGCGACGACGTCGCCCTTTTCGAACTCGCCGCCGGGCGCTTCGTGGATGAGGCCCACGGCTTCGTTGCCGAGGATGCGGGGGAGTTTGACGTTCGGAGAGTATCCGAGACGTGTGAAGAGTTCGGAGCGGTTGAGGCCGAAGGCTTTGATTTGGATGAGGACTTGGCCTTTGCCCGGTGTGGGGATTGGGCGGGTTTCGAGTTTGAGGGATCCAGGGGGTCCGGGGTGATGGAGGACGACGGCCTTCATGTTGGCCATCTTGGGCATTCAGAGCGGAACGTGAGCAGATTGGGCTACTCTTTTTTCACGGAGGAGAGACGAATGAAGACAGCGACCAACAGGTTATGAATACAAAAAATGAATCCCAGAAATGGGAGTTTCAAGCCTGGTCAACACCTAATCACATCCAAGACATTATATGTACCAAACATGTCTCCTTACGCTTGCCTAAGTCCTTGACTAAGCGTTGTTGGTGGCTTACCAATGCTTTTAAAGCCGACAGACATGATTGGTCGAGTGCTGGGAGTGCGCTAGACATGATCAATGGATCTATACAGAGCAGCAAATAATAATACAAAATGCAGCGGATCGAGAACATACTGGGCGGGGAAGTCGATTCATGACTTGTGGCGTGGCTGGCTTGATCAGGCCCCCGAAGAAAATGCATCAGGAACTACCGCAACATTCTGGTCTTACTAGATCATTTACCTCCGTTTGCTTTTTTCAGGTACGCCGTCAGCTTCGACACAATTATTGCAATACAGCCTTGACTGTGCGATACGCTTACGATGGGAGGAGCTCGCGTGCTCCCGTCGAGGGGTATCTCACATGCAAATTCATATTCTCGACAGGTGGATCCACCTGCCGATTTGTGGATTTACCTCAAAGTGGGCTGAAGGGACGAATTCAGCGAAATGCCGGCATGGCGGCCTCGGAGAAAAGGGGGCGATTCGTTCAAGTCATTCATCATCTTCCGGTAGTAAAAGAAACCGTGTGAAGGTCAATCAAACCGAGCTTCATATCTTCTAGCAGGAAGAGCATACTAGGGGTTCCGGCATATCAATGGCAGCAACCACATTGTAACTAGCTTTTATCCCGCTTAAAAAAAGAGCATGGTAGGTGAATGGTCGTGATCAGCGCGAACTGTAGCTGTCGCTCAGTAGCGGTCGTCGTCGTAGCTCTCACGGTCATCACGGCCTTCATCAAAAGCGCCCTCGATGTCTTGAGGAATGTCTTCAACTTCTTGTACCTAAACAGAAATCATCAGCGAATATTTGGCAAGTCAAATGCCTAAGCGCAAGCGCACCTTGTCCCCAGTCCATCGAGCGGCGTCATCCGGAATATCTTCAACTTCTTGTACCTAAATGGAAATCATCAGCAGATACTTGATAAGCGACGTGCCTAAGTGCAAGCGCACCTTATCCCCAGTCCATCGAGCGGCGTCATCCGGAATATCTTCAACTTCTTGTACCTAAATGGAAATCATCAGCAGATACTTGATAGGCGACGTGCACAAGTGGCAGCATACCTTATCCCCGGTCCATCGAGCGGCATCGTCCACAAAGCCATCATCTCTGTATTCGTCCCTGCGGTAGCCGTCGTCGCCGTATCCATCATCTCGACCCACGGTTGTTCCATTGTAATCTTGGCCGCCTCCGTAGCGGTCATCATCGACGATAGTCTCGTTCTGAATGATGGTGTCATTGCCGCGACGATCATCGTAGTTGTCTTCGTTGACGATAGTCTCGTTCTCGATTACGGTGTCGTCTCCACGGCGGTATCCACCACCATAGCGATCGTTATCGTCGATGAAAGTCTGATTCTCAATGATTGTATCCCCACCACGGCCGCCATACCCACCTCCACCAGCTCCACGACGCTCCTCGTCTCCATAATTGCGGCGGCCTTCGAAGTCGTCTTCGAACTTATGCTTGTCTCCCTCCCAGTGCTCCTCTATCATGAGACAAAAGTGTTAGTCATGGTGTCTCGGAGGCGAACACAGGGATAGGCAAGAGCCGTATTGAACATACCAACTTTGTGGCCTTCGTGCATCAACAATGCTCCTGCAGCCAAACCAGCTACTGCTCCCCCAGCCCCGTATGCCAAGTTATGGTTTTTCTGCTGTGGAGCCTGCGTAATCACTTCCGACTGCTGATATGTAGAGCCCATGGGTCCCGGCCCAGCTGAATGCACCGCGGTGTACTGTACGGGGGCTGGAGGTCCACGAGGGGGGTCCCAGCTGCGTTCACCGGTCCTTTGGTTGATGAAAAACCAGCGGCGATCGGGGGCGTCCCATTCTGCTATCCAGCCAGGAGGAAGGTTATGATTGGGGCCGGAAGGAGGGGGGCCTTGAAGAGGGGCAGGGGGACGGTTGAAGGTACGTTCGCCTGTACGCTGATTGATGCTGATTCGAAGTCAGCATCTCATGATGAAGAGAGAATGTTGAGTCTTGGCTCATGTCTGAAGAGCAAGTGCCTCCAACCCAATGTTTCAAGACTCCATTTGAGTATCGAGAGAGGGGATTGTGAGTACGTACTAGAAGTAGCGGTTATCTGGCGCGTCCCACTCTTCGATCCAGCCCGGCGGGAGGCCATTGTTAGCATTCTGTGGTGGAGCAGGGGAGCGATGAGGTTGTGGAGAAGGTTGGTGGGGTGGGTAATAACCCTGGCCTTGGGGCTGGCCTTGGTGAGGGGGACCCGAGGCCTGAGAGCCTGGTCTTTGCTGATGGGCATATGCCTGGGCAGCTTGATTGAGGTAGTCCATATTTTGATGAAGGAGGAAGTAATGAAAGAGAGGTGGAAAGGTGAGGAAGGATCAGAAAGGAAGAAAGAAAGAAGGAAAGAAGGAAAGAAGGAAAGTGACTGACACTTATGAAACAGGAAGGATGTGAAGGCTGTAGTGGAATGAAGCAGTTGAAGCCAGCTGAGGTACCCTAGTGAAACGTGGACTGACTAAGCACTAGGAATCAGCACTAAAGTAGTTAGACTTCTACGGGCCCCGGACTTCTACCACTTCCCATTCGGCAGCAGCCTTAACACTGCCCCGTCGCTAAATTTAGAACTCTACCTTATATCCTCTTTCGCTATGAACTTCGACTTAGGCATAGACATTGCTGTTTGGTGGACAGAATATGTCACCCCCTCCCACTGGATCCAATGACATCTCCTTGTAGTCTCGGGTATCGTGCCCCTATAAGACACTCGAATACTGTTTTGACTGAGTCATGATCAAACGCTCCAGGAGAGAAACTGGGAAAGAACAGGTTCCTATCATGCGTATGACCATATGCCCCAACCATTGGCTCTGCATACTTGGTAGAAAGGACGATTCCTGTCAGGTTCTCGCCAGAGGTACCGATTCCTGGTCTTTGATCTTTAACAATACTGTGAAATCATGCGGAATACCTGGTCTAGTCCTCTTACACTTTTCAGCTCAAGTATTTCTTGCTCCGCGCACGTTATGATTGTTTGAGCTCAGTGTCCGTGGTTTCAATGTATCTACTATAAAACCTAGCCACCCGTGGAGAGGTTGCTGCAAGAATTCCGTTGCCTGCTATTCCGCCATTTACTAGCGCGCTATTCTCTTCTGGCTGTAAAGACAAGCATCTTATCGTCAGGCGTACTCCAAGGCAGGGCTCAATGTCGCTTCCGTTGCCTTCTCAGCTCTCGCATTTACCCTCAATCTGCTCCCAGAGGCAGCTCCAACGTCTTGCCAGAACTTGTCGAAACTTTCAAGGCCGTGTAGAAAGAAGGCCGTATCACTGGATAGGCCACGTCGCTCTCCTCCCTTCAGAGCGCCGGCAAGATGGGTCTGAGCAAGATTGATAGGTCTGGGTATGACTATGCTTAGCGCCAATTACCAGGTCGGTAACGTGCGGGATCACTTGGTCAGGTACAAGACCGGAGTACTGCTCTAATAGAGCTTGCGCCTGAGGTGGGATCTCGACCGTTTCCCTGAACCACTTCGATGTGTCTACAACATTGTTGAGTTCTTCAGAGGCGACCTGGACGCGACCGTCATTATCGGCTCTGCTCTCGTCGTCAGTATTACTCCTGAGACACTTTTTCTCGGCTGTGGTTCGTAATTTCTGTTTGATGTGACTGTTCGATTTATAGGTGGAGTCTCATGTCGACTTTTCTGGCATGTTGTACATATATTCAGAGGAAGCGCGTTGATGTCTCGTATTTTTGGAAGGGCGGTCTGCAATCTCCGCTTTTCCCTATCCTATGACTGGCTGCAGCGCGTTGGTAAGCAGTACACCGCTGCTGAGGGCGTGCCGAGAATCGCCAGCCTTGTGCTTACGAAGGTGCACGATTTGTCGCCGGGACCTACCAGCATCCCGAAAATGGGTCCCTGTGGCGTGTTGCAACTGATGACAAGGTAGTCAGACAACCTTGAAGATGCATATGAAGGCCGAGTTCATGCATTTCGGCGTTTAGGGATGTACGGATAACACATGAGGCATTTGACAAGTAGAGATGCCGACGTCCGTAAGCACAGAGTTAGTACCAATCGATCCTTCCGTTTCATAGCCACCAATCTATGCGACTATGTGACATTACTTGCATGCAAGTAAGCACCATGAGATTGTATGTGTTAGTAATCTGATTGCCGCGTCTCTTTCACTTGCGCCGTCCAGCTCACGGAGGGTCCGACTTCCGGTCGACGGGCTGGGTTCTAGAACAATCCTACACAGAACCACAACTGGTCCGCCCCACTCACCTACTCAACCTTATTGCTGCTGTCGCATTCCATCGAGTCCGCAGAGTCCGTGGCCATGTCAGAGGCCAATTCCAAAACAAGTAGTCCTCACCACCACCCCCGTCGTATGACGCAGCGCCCGACCACCGGTGAACACTCGCACGCATCTCATCGCGACCACACGAATCTACGAGACACAAGGCTGCTTGCAGGTAGCCGACTAATTGAACTCAGTGAGGATCGACCAACCAGTGCTCCTCGTCAAAGTAGCCTCAATCACAGTCATCTCCTACCTAGCTCTTTGCTGGTGATGGCGATCAGGCTATGCGCGCTGTATACCCGGTCTTGCTGGCGCGGACGGGTCAGGACCCCAGAGGACTTATTGATCCCATTTCGTTAAGGAGGTAAACAATTTTCATCCACAAACCCTAACACTCACTCAAGTAAACCTTCTGAGTGCTATACGAGAGCGAGAGGAAAAATCTTAAAGAAAACTTGGATCACAACTTGTCCGCCAACAACAGTATGAACTTCTGATACCATGGCATACTCTGCTGCGAAGTATTGAAGCAAGAGCATTTCAATACCAATCACAACTAAAAATACCCGCCCTATCACCAATAAATCCAGGCTCATAATCCCATAGCCTCAAACCCAAGATCCTACCTCAACTGGTACCGATGATAGCGGAAAAACTCTTCGATAACCTTCCTGTCAGAAATCAGCGTAAAGCCACGGGCCATACGGTTCAGCGCCTTGATGAGCTCGGGCGTAACGCAGCCGAGTTTCGGCCGGGACTCGAGGCCTACCGTGGTCTTAGATTTGCGAGCGGCCTTGCCTTTGGGTTTGAGGTTGGGGGTGGAGGGGGGTTCGTACTTGACGGCGGGCTTTGGGGGGATTTTGTCGTCGTACCTGGTGACGGCCTTTTCACATTTTGGAGGCGCGGGTGCCATGGTGCTGACCTGGTGGAGAAGTGACTGGATTGAGGATCTAAGGATCTGATGGTACGGTATGTGTGTGGACTTTGAGTTTGTTGGGAAATTACGGGGTGGTGTGAAATGGACATTTGTCTGCGGAAGCGGTATTCGTGGGAGGTTGAAAGATTGGAGTACTCATGGACATCATTCCCACTCCTCTATGTGTATAAGTTTTGCTCGTATCACAGCTTCTTTCTTGATCAGTTCTCCTTTCAGACCTACCTTTGATCGTTTCGCCGGCGGCTCTCTCTTCGGGAGAGTCCTTGTTTGCGACGAAGAAATCGCATGGGATAGAAAGCTACTGCACTTATCGCACAAGAATGAATGATTAAAAGATTGACAACCGAGATGGAAGTGTACATGTGACAGGAAAATCCCAGGGACAAAATTGCTCATCGTCTTCAGGCTGTTGGGTCCCCAGCTTTTTGGCTACGAGCAGTCTTATCCTCCTGCTCAGAGCCGCTAATTAAACTTTCTCTATTCGACAGCGCCTGCTTTCCCTATTGTCAGCATTCTCTCCGGTTTGCTGATCTTGTACACAAGCCATCATCAAGGCCAACGGCTGGCAATGCAGATACCTTCCGACCTCAAACTTCGCTTGTGTCACATGTAGTTTGGCAGCAACCTCCCCGATTGCATGCTTTCTCTTTTAAGCTTCCTTGGCTGAGTCGATGACTGGAACACCCAGATCCTGCGTGACTAGGAAGATCTGACTTCAGGACCATCTGGCAAGACCTCTTTTTTCATTTCTTCTTCAAGTTCTCCGAGTGAAGAAGGAGAAGAGATGCAATTTGAGGAGACAAGGGTATGAGTGGGGGACGATGATTAGATTAGAGCATTAGTTGCAGCGAAAAGCTGATCTTCGCTGTGTCTGAACTATTACATTCGACGTGGGATGGCCAGGGACCAGAATGCCAAGGCTTTTGGCGATTCTGAGCGTTTGATTGGTGGCTCTTCCATCTTTAGTACCTTACATGCACAGAGTACGCATACCATCCGTCAACTTTGAAACTGCTCTGCCTTGAATACATATTTCTTGCTAACCCTAACCCTAAGATATTAAGATTCAGACTTGGTTTTCGACATCCGGTAGCCTGATCGCTAAGATGCACCTCACATATGGCGCACGTGCCTTTGTCGCAGATCAGCGGGGCACAGTCACGCCACTGAAAGTAAAAAAGAGGCGGGATCTTCTCCTGGATTCCCCTCTCCTCCAATCAAATGGCGTTCCATCGTCAAATCTTGCCCATGGCTGGGTCACGGCTATGTGTGATAAGGCTAGACTAGCTAGGGCGCAGAAAAGGAGAAGAAGACAAAAGGGGAGAAAGCGGCGTGGCTTGAGTTTCGAGTCCCGACATGATGTTTGAAAGCGCCATTTGAAACCTGCACGACTGGAACTCCTGCAGCATGGCAGCATCCTTTGGAATTTAAAGGAATGAAATGTCTAATGGCCGTACAATTTGAACAAATCAGCATCATCATCATCATCAATTGTCCATGTTGAAACATGATTACGGTCTCCTGCGTCTGGATGTTGAAAGACCGCGCCATGGCTTGTCTTTTGAAACCCTGCAAGATCCTCCCTTCTTATCCTTCCGCTTTCCTCCCTGCACCTCAAACTAATTACATCATTACAGTATTATATACCTTAGGAACTGTATAACAATGACGGGCAGATAGTTCGCGGGGCAATGCATTTAACTTCCACCAGTACCTTGGCTTGAGAGTCTATTTGATTCCCTATCTCTAATTTCTGATACATGAATACATAAGTGACTTCTCATGTCAGATACAGTTTGATTCTACTCCGTATCTACCTTTTCCGCCCAAGATCGAGCTTGGTCTTGGAACCTCTGACTTACGCCATTATCATTTTGATTAAACCCACCATTTCCTGCCCTCACTCCCTTCTGCATCCTGACCATTGTCATTGTCTGACGCACTTCATCTCGGACAACAACGACAACAACAACATGTCCGACCTTGCAATTACCATCTAACCCCAGCATCTTCATCAAACCAAACCATGTCGGGGCCATCCAGCATGCCTGGCCCGCCGCCGGGACTCAATTTGTATGACGACCAAGGCGGCAAGGTATTGGGTACCATGATCGCGCTCATCGCTCTTGCCTCCACCTTCGTTATCTTACGTCTGACCTCGAGGCATCTGGCTCGTGCTGGCTTCTGGGTGAGCACCATCATGTTCCGAAGCGAAAGGAAGATCCACTGACAGATCGGTTGCATGATAGTGGGACGATGTGCTGATAATAGTAGCATTGGTACGCTGCCGACTCTACTCTCCTTACTCACCCACATTGCCATCTAAATTTCGGCGGACAGCTTCTTGCCATCGCCTCGTGCATCTGTAGTATTGTCGGTAAGTTGGATTCTCCAATTCCGAGCAAGCATACAGGGGAATGTGATTGACGATGAATCTAGCTGTCAAACATGTTGGTTTCGGCAAGCACATCTACGTCTTTGGCAAAGCGGGTGCCATGGAGGCTGCCACAGGCTATTTTCACACACTCTATTTCTTCGAGCTCTTCTTTACCTTGGCCACCGGTGCAACCAAGCTTACCATGTAGGTCACTCTCTAAACATCAAGTCCCACTACTAAATTTCGGGTTTGCTGACCGACCTCCTACTTCTCTTAGACTGGCATTTTATCGACGCATATTTCCAATTGCAGAGCTGAAGCTCATCCTGATCGTCATGATCACCGTCGTTGTTATGTATACCACGGTGGTCTCCACACTCATCATCTTCCAATGGTACGTAGCCCTAATCCGGGTTTCCCCCAGGACCGACTGACATTTCAGCCATCCGATTCGGAAGTTCTGGGAATCTGAGTTACCTGGCTATTGCATAAACCCCATCAACAACTTGATCGTAACAGGGTCCGTCAATACCCTACTGGACTTTATGATCGTTTGCTTGGTAAAATCGGTCCAGTCTTTATGATAGTCAGTCAATTTCTGACCTCTCATCAAGCCCGTACCTCTGCTGTGGCGTCTGCGGACTTCAACACGGCAAAAAAGTATCTTAACCGGTATCTTCCTTACAGCAGGGTTGTAAGTCCAGATAACCACTTTGCGCCCCTATCAAAATCTTCCGCTCATCGAAATGACAGTGTCTGCATCGTCAGTATTGTTCGAATCATCAGCTTCACAAGAGTTGACCCAGTTGACGTCACATGTAAGTCTCTCGTGCCCAGGATCTTTCTTCTTACAAAATCCCTTGCTTTTCAGCTGACGCCCCATCTCCAGGGAACTTTGTCGGGGTCTCAATCTGGTCTGCTGTGGAGCCCATAGCCGGGATTCTCGGGGCCGTAAGTATTACTGTTATCCCCCATCTCCAATTTCAAGCGCCGCTGACTCGGAACCCTTCATAGTGCCTCCCATCGCTCCGCCCCCTACTCACCCTTCTCCTCGACAACAACGCCTACCGCTCCTTCGCCGCCACCGCCTCTCAAACCTTCCAAAGCACCACCACCACCACCACCTCCTCCGTCCTCAAGAGCAACCAATCCAACCGCAAGAACCGCGACTCGACCACCTTCGCCCGACTCAAAGAAGAACACGACGGCAACGCCCCCAAGACGCAAAGGCTGCCGTGGCGGGATCCAAAGGGGCCCCGGGTATACGACCACGAAATCGACGGGCACAACATCACCGTGTACGGGGGACGAGGACAACAGGGCGACGGCGACGGCGTTGAAATGGAGCGGATGAGCGACGTGGAACCGCCGCGGGGAGTCATACGGGTCAAGACGGAGATTTTCCTTTCGAGCAGTAAGAGGTTGGACTATAACGACCGGTTGTACTGACGACAAGCTGCTGCGTGGGTGATCAAGGAACGGCGTTCGGGCTCACACAGGATTGTATGAGGTAAAGGCGTTTGGGTTCCGAGACGCAATATGCCCAAGGGCCGGCTGTGCAGGCACACGGTGAGGGTTAGGGCGGGTAGACATGCGACATGATGACGAAAAGTACCAACGTAGTCTAGGGAAGTGAGGGGGCCAGATTTCATGTCAATAGCTGGGCACTCTGAAATTTTAAACAGTTGGACAGCTAGCTGATGCAACCAAAATCCATAATCTCAGGTCTCCACGACTAATCCGCCAGCAACAGCGATTCGCCGTGACCCAGAGCTCGGATGTCGATTCGAAGCACTGTGACCGCCGCGCCTCAAAAGCCACCGAACGGCCTGGGAAGTCGAATTCCAGACGCAAAGACACGTTCTTTCCTTCCAAATCGCCGCGGAAACTTCTAAAGACAGTGACACAACGCCACTACACAACGACTGGCTGTCCTCCCCACTATTTCTCCCGCACAGGCACAATGCACGAACCAAAGCCGATCGAGACGGAAGGCCCAACAGGGAAACCCAAACAGCCAATTAGGAAACGAAGCCCTCAGACGCACATTGCTCGATCGGCCCGCCTCGCCTGCCACGAACCGAGATGCTTCAACCCTTCCAGCCACAAGAAATTCAACACATGGAAATGCCGTTGAGGAGGTAGTGCGCCATCCTGCGGCATGTCGTACAGGCATAACAACAAGTAAGTGAACTAAACCCAAAGTCACAACGCGACGCCCGAATCCCAATCCTCGCGATTCTCTCTCCGCGATGTTCGAATATTTCCCATGCACGAACCTCCACCGCTCTCCTACCCGCTCTCCTACCCACCCATCCTACCCAGAATCCCCCATGATCCAAACGCTTATGGCGATACCGAGAAGCTCCCCATCCATCGCGAATAGTCAAGATAGCGAAGATTTCCAACCGAACAGAACAATCTCAACCGGTCTTATTAACGGCAATAAGCGCGCTCACGTGGACGTTCGGGGTCGCGAGCCTGCTATTGACACGACAGCTCATAAAACAGAAGCAGAAGACCGCGCTCACGATTATCGACTGGGCGATCCTAACTGCAATGGTTAAATCTCCAACCGACCGCCCATCTCGGTTGTATATATCTGGAAAAATTCATATGGTGACCTCTCTTATTGAATTCCGGGGTACGGGATCGGTGGCTATAGTGGTGACGGGTGGGTCGGGCGGGAACCGTCCGCTTGCTCAGTAATTCACGCACTTACCCACCGATTGCACCGCCCAGGTGTGCAATGGGAGCGTTCGGTCATCCCGCCGGGACCGCGACGCGAGCTGAGCTGGGAGCTCTCAGCGAGGGAATCCATCTCAACGAATGTTGTAATTGACGGATGTTAGGCACCGCTCGATTGTGATAGATGTGATGGTATAAGTATGGTTATGCCCTCACTACGTAACAGACCACATTGCTGGCTGTTGATCATCCAGCATCGTTCAGTTTAATTCACATTGCATTGTCTTTCTCTCCGTTACTCACAGCGATTCCGCCACAGCACGATGCTCCTTCAAGCAATCTTATCCCGCACCTCCTGCGTAAACTCCTGTTGCGTCACCCCAGTCTTCTCACCGGCCACATCCCCGATACCCTTGTGCTGCGCCTTGACCGCCTCAATCTTCGCGTCCAACAGACTGTTCCCTGGCTTTGTCTTCCACGGCTTGATCGCCCCTTTGCTGAACAACATCTCGATCTCCTCAATCGTCTTGCCCGCCGTCTCCGGATAGGTGAAGAACGCCTGCACCGCGGCGCCAAAGCACAGTACGCCGAATATGATGAAGAGTTTCCAAGAGATGTTCTCAAAGGCGGGCGGGATGAAGAAGCCGATGGCGAAGTTGAAGAGCCAATTGGCAATGGAGGCGAGGGCCATGCCTGTGGCACGGGTTTCGAGGGACCATACTTCGGCGGCGTAGACCCAGGCGATAGGCGCCAAGGTAATGGAATACGTAAGCACCAGTAGATAGCAGAAAGCGATGACGGTGTTTGCAGGTGGGCCAGTCACCTGGACCTTGACGCTGAGATTCCCACTGAGACCGTTCGGAAGCGGGGTGCCATAAGAGCCCAGTACACCACCAACCACAAACATACAGATACCCATACCAACGGCCCCGTAAATAAGGAGGGGCCTACGGCCGGTCACATCGATGAAGAAGAATGTGGCCGCTGTCCCGAGGATGAAGACGGCGTATTGGATCCCGGAGGAGATGAGTCCGATGTTTCCCGTTAGGCCGGCCATGTCGAAGATATAAACTACATAGTAGGTCATAACGTTTGCACCGGAAAGTTGTTGCCAGGCTTGCACAGACATTCCTGCAAAGGTACGCTTCCACATGCCGTTTTTGAAGAATCGGCGCCAGCCTTGTTGACCAGCTGTGAGAAAGCTTGAGTTAGTATATAAACTATTAAGACAATATTGGTATAAACCCAGCGTTAAGGAGTCAGGTTCCCGCAGGGATGTCATAACAGACGGCGGGACATGGAAGTCGTAGACAATGAATCTGATGGATCCTTACCTCGCTCAGCCGCTAGGATGGTGGTGATTTCTTCCCACTCAGCCACTACAAGCGGATCATTCACATTCCCGCCAGCTTGAATGCGGGCAAGGATCTCGATGGCCTCATCAAGGCGTCCAACCTTTGCAAGCCAGCGTGGAGATCTCGGTAGAAACGGAAGACCAGCTAGAAGAAAGACACATGGGATGAATTGAATAGCCCAAGCAGTCCTGAACGAGTTCGTCCCAGCGATGAATGAGCAGCCTAGTGAAGATCCTTGAGTCAGCACAGTATCCTTCAAGGAACTCCAGGCTTCTAGCAGATGCCGGAAGTCGTCCCGAGAGCATAACCAAAACATAGATCGCAGCATCAAGGCAGGTACAATGAGTAGGAAGCAGCATACCGTATCCAGCAAAATACATTATAAAGATACCCCACTCAATGGCCCACTGTTGAATGACAACAATAGAGCCTCTCCTCTCTTTCTTCGTGATCTCGACCAGATACACTGGGACCTGCGAAGACGTGATACCAACGCAGATACCATTTATGAAGCGACCGGCAACCAGCATGCCAATACCGTTACAGCCCGCTTGTATAGCGGTCCCGAGCAGCCACCAAAAACAGGCAAAAGCGATGGCGTCACGCCGTCCGATGCGATTGGATACGGGACCTGCCATTATGGCACCAATCACTGAGCCGCCAGCAAGGGCAGCACCAATGCCACCTTGAGTAGTACCGGAAGGATTGTTGAAGTAAGCCACATATTGCTTCGTTCCAATGATGGCGGAGATGGAGGAGATGTCGAAACCGAAGCTAGGAAGTATGAGCCAGACCTTATTGGAATGGGAAGAGCATGAGGAACTTACAGCATGCCGCCAACCGTGGCGATGATGGCCAGGAAGTAGACATTGTATATTTTTGGCATATGCATGTTGGAGAAGAGTGAGAGATAAGTAGTAGTGCTGAGCAGAAAGCCACAAGCTGTGCGAGGCTTTTCGGATGATAGAGACAATCCAAAAGAAAAAATAACAAAAGAAAAGATAGGAAGAGAAGAGACGAAATGAGCTTGGCAAATAAGTATGTCCGATAAACAATAACCCCACATAACAATGTCCAGGGCATATGTTGTTCATGTTCATCTTCGTGCCCCACGTCGATCCGCATCATTCGGCACGCTCAACGGTAATCCTAAGCCTTTTACAGCGAAAGCGGTAGACCCTGTAGAATGATTATGCATGATAACGACTACTCCACACCAATGATGATTGGCAACTGGTCGGGAGAAAGTGCGGGGTAGCAAGTGATGAACGTCCTGCGCTATCTAGGAAGGTTGGGCTTTGCGGAGAAAATCAGGCTAAAGTGAGAGTTTACATTTTAGCCTGAACATAAAGAATATCCCGAACTACCTTCCCATGCCGAAACATGCAATTCTCCACTTTGCCGAGTAGTGGACATACACCGGCGAAGAGATGCAGCACAAAAAAAAGGGGGTGATTTGGCGAGAACGCGCGGAAACCGACAGTCAACAATCAAGCAGGGCAGAAGTTAGCTGGGCTTGCGTCTCGATCGACGGCTCCCCAGCAGGCACCTACGTAATTTCAAGCGTCCGCTAAATGTGACAATGACAGAGACACATGAGTGGGAGTGGGAATCATTGACGGCACAAACGACCAGGCACCAGGGCAGTGAGTGCTTGGAAGACGATGACTAGTTGTGCATCTCGCGCCGTCGAGTCGAAACTCAGCGCATTGATTTCTCTCGGTCTTCTGTCCTGAGGTCGTCGCGTTCGGCTTCTGCAGGATAGTGTCACCAGAGATCGCAAACCCACAGGCAAACACGCTTATGCGATGCGTAAAAATGGACAGAGCATCCAAAGGATTACATCAGACTTGGACTGGGATGAATCGCGGTTCGAGGAATGGCCTAGCAGTGCAGATGTAGACTGACTCCCACTGCCACGTAAGAACGACGGGTATAAGGGTGATGCGCGTGTATAAGGTACAGGTAATTTTCTTGTGCGTCCTGAGGATCGTATGGAATAAAGGAAGCCGATCAGTCGCGGATAGTCTTCCAATAGCAGGTTTGAACGGTGTCTCGTAGGAGAATGAAACGCCCACTGGATCCGCAATGGCCATGAATCGGCAAACGATGCACTGCTTTGCTGAGAACATGGGACTCATGGCAAGCGGGCGACGAGATCGGTACATGTCTAAGGTTTCCACCAATGTTTCGTAGTAGGTTTTCTGTCCTCACCTCGACACTGAAGTGACAGGCGTTGCCCAACGCACTCAGACATGCCAATGTGACAGGCGACACTCTTGATAGTATAACCTTGGGATCAAAACCTTCTTGCCCGTATCCGTCGTTGTGTAGCCCATCTTCCTCGTCTTCCCTACTTTGCCATTTATCGATATGTGGAAAAGCGGTGTGTGTCTAGGAGAAGTATGACCAATCTGTGCCCAAAAGCAGGGGGGCGATGACAATTGGCGACGATCAAGCCGATTTTATTCATAGATTGGCTTGCGTACGGTGACTCTCTTTGTGTCGCGCAGCAAGGAGAGGCAGGGTGACGGTAGGGTAAGAACTTGTAGTCTCGCAATGGCCAAGGGCATGGCCCGAGGGGAAGGCGTTCGAGCCGCATACAAAATTGTCATCCACATCAGACAAGCCAAAGCGCCGGGAAGGGAGGATCGTGAGGATCGACTATACAATGTCAGCAATGGGATGAGGGGTGGTTCGCCGAGCCGAGAATCTTGGGCGTACTCAAATGTCTTCCCTCTGGGTCAATCTAGCCTCTAGATGTATCTGCAGGCGGTCCGAGCAACCCTCATACGGCTTATCGTATCCACACGTCCACATGGTCTCGTCGGAGTGTGTAGAAATGGTAACGCGACGGTTTGATCATAACAGGGTAAGAGCTAAGAGTTGCTAGGCATGACACAGCATCGTCTGCGCGGCACGACTGACCGTGGAGACGATACGGATAAGGCTGCAAAGGCGATGGTATAGGAGAGAAAACGACGGGCAGGCGTATTATAAGGGCCCTTGGCAGTAGACTGGAGTTTGAAGTGGTGGACTGTGCTGTGTAGAATCCCGAGCCGTGGACGCCAAGACGGTCGGATAACGCTCCGCCTGGACAATGCGCTTAGATCTGCTTCGGAACTGAGCATTTTCTCAGCCCTATAAAGTTCATAGATCCTGCGCTAATAGGAATAGTTCCAAGGTTCCCTAGACATTCCTTAGGGCCGCCTTCCGAATGTAGATAGGGGTATTTTCCAACTCGGTACCGCCCTGGTTAAATCTAGCCCAGAGAAATAGTCGACCGCCTTCCGAGAGTAGGAGTAGATCCCGTGCTACTACTTTCCGCCTCGGGGTCCGCTATCAACAAAACAATGTGTCAACCTTTTCACCTTCCAGGCCATGATTTCATCTTTCCTTGTACAAAGTTTAACGAGTGTGAAGTTTATAACTACACTTGTGTGAACTAGACTTGGTGTAAGGCTCTATAAAGGTGTCGTCAAAAGCCTATCTCTGGCAATGGGTTTTCCTCAACTCGCTGAGACTCTGTAGGCTATTAATCTCCACGATGCGCCTTCCCGAAGACCAATCTCGCCTCGGCAGACAATTGATTGGCACAAGGCGCAACTTGAGGTCGACTCTACCATCGACAGCCTTGGCTTTTGGCTGCTTTCCGATGCCCGTTCTCGGAGCAGATTGCAAGAAGCTGCTCATCAATACGATCACGCAACATTCTCCTCCATCCTAGGCCCATTACTAGAGCAATGTGGACAGGAGTGGAAGAAGGCAGCGTCGCACGAGGGCCGAAGAAAGCATGATATTAGTCACCATCTTGAAAACAACCACGAAGTTCTCAGTGAATGGCTGTACTCAAAGCTAAATGGTGTTGAGAGAGCATACAATGGTCAAGGTAGGCACGGATTCGAACTAGACTTGTAAGCTTGACACAAATGACCTGTATAAGTCTTGCGTTTGCACGATGTGAGGGATCAAATCCTTTCCAAGACTGTCTTCGAGCGCATTCGACAGCATCTTTCCAATTGTCTCAGTGCCGACAACCCAATGCAGCACATCGAGTCTGTTATGGATTCCTTAGAGTTTGTGGATCTGGGCGAGACATTCTTCGATGTTGCGTGGGACCACACGTACTTCCAGGACGAAATGGACAAATCGCAGAGGCTAGGCTCTATGATTACTTTCACTGGCTCGGTTGATGCTTCATGGGCCGCAACCAGTAAAGAGTACGTGGCGAAGATATGGCCAGAAACGGGGATGGTCACTCTAAGTGCCATAGAGAAGGCAATGAAACAAGACAAAATAGGTTGTTACTACGAAACGTTCAGTTCCTTTGACGGAGATTTCGGAGTTGAAGTGAGACGCTCGAGAGGTCCCCAGATCAAAGTTCAAGGATCTAAAAGACAAACTGTTCAAGTAGCACAGCAATTGGCCTGGATGATGGGCGTCTTCCAAACGAGAAAAGATCGAGACTCAGATAAGACAATGTACTCGCATTTTCAAATCGACAATCAAGACACAGACCGGTTTTCGTTGTCACCATTGCCACTCAAGGAAGCCTCCGAAAGTAATGCGTCATGCTGGCCATCGTTGTTACATGGTGGCGTCATCTCTCACGGGTTCCCGATTCCTCAAAGGGGCAGTGAAGTGGGAGTTGAAATGTCTTTAGATGCGATCATTCCTCTTGCGGGCATCCAATATCCTGTCCATATCCAAGACGTCACCATTATGAAGGGATGGTCAACCCTGCTGTATCCAGTGAAAGCTTCCGTGGACTTCGGCTCGATCCAATGGCACTTAGTAGCATGTGACGTTCCAGACGATCCGCGGATACTTCAAGCACTGTCTTCTGTCGCCTATGTAGCGAATTGGAAGGATGTCGGCCTCGACTCAATTAGAATGTCACGGTCCTTTATAGGCTTCTGCGACTCTGCAAATATTCACTTGGGGACGAAGATGTTTGAGCCGCAACGTTCAGAAGATGTGTCGGGCGCATTGATTGAGACAAGCCGGGCGTTCTGGCAAAAAAAGGTCACTGTCAATATGGGAACCGGCGGTATGGGCGCTTTTGGATTCGGAGCTGCTGGCGAGATAGGCTTCACCAAGACCACAGTCGCCAGGATGGCAGAACGGGAGAACTTCGACAAGGTACTGGACTTGTCTCGGGGGACAGCGGTGATGATTTATGACGTTGCCACCAGTCTTGCATGGCTAGTGCCAGAGATCAGTGTGGTGCTGCACATAACACGGTCTTGGTTCCTCGAAAGGAAAGACCTTGCAAGAAATGAAATCGAAAAGTTACCGTCTGCAGCCATAGCTGAAGATGGGGGTAGCGCTGCAATGAACGCAATCAGAAAACACCAGTCGCTTGATTTGGAGCGCACCGGTGGCACATCGACTTGGAAATTCATGGATATCGTGAAGGATTCTGTCCGTTTACTCAGAGCCTGCAGAGATACAAAAGATCGATCACAGTCATCCAGTTCAGTCTCATACCTGTTGTCTAGGGTTCAGTCGCCGAGGCTTTACGGATGGGACATGGCCGATATGATTGACGGAAGAGACAACACATCGAGGAAGGAACTATCAGTCCACAAGAACTCCAATGACAGATGGGTCACTTCCATAGCCAACCATCCTGATGTGTTGCTTCTGTTCTGCAGGAACATAGCTGCTCCAATTCGCCCAGCTCAGCCGGAACAGACTTGTCGCAAGTGGAACCCAATGCCTTCGGGAGAGAATTACCTAGTGGCTTCTGTGCAATCTTTGAAAGACTTGGCACGTCATTGCAATGGAGGAGACAAAGGCAGCAAGTTGACGGACAAATGCTATTGGTCGCGACCATCTGGAAGCAATCCATGGGGTCCATGCGATTATGAGTCTCGAAAGGGGTGCAATCGGTTGCAGCAAATAGTGGACCAGAATCCTAATCGTCCGGTGAAGCCCCGTGATGGTGGTGCAATTGTCTTTGGCTGTAACGCACCTCCACGCAAGAGATGCCGACTGCCTAAGCCATCGAGTCCTGAGAAGGGTCTGATCGCTACCGATGGCATTTCAGATGAGACTGCGGGCAGCATCTCGACCATGTCTCTGCCCTTTGACTCGCTCAGCGTGGGTCAGCGTGATCAGCAGATTCCAGTAACAGTTGACGATAACGATCAAGCGTTAGTCCCTGTCTCATCCTCTAGCGGAGAGACGCACCAAGGCCTGTCATTCGAGGAAGACTGTCGAGCTATCGCTGCAGCACTCGCTCAACGGCAAGACAAGCAACCATCACCAGTTGAACTCGATGAGCTAATTCAGGAGGGCCGAGCAATCTACGATCAATTCCGTCACCAAGCACAGAAATTGCAGAAGCAAAAAGTCCTGGTGGACGAAATGTTACCGTTACTCAGGTCCACGCTGGAGACCCTCACAGAATGATCGGGCAAGTTACATTTTCACATCCCAAAGGGGTATGAGTTTGTATGTTGCCTATTCGAGATCTAACTAATTGCGGCCCCTTATCAACGTCAACGCAATGGCGACTCTAGAATTCCCTTATGGGACGCTTTGGCGTCGGAAATGGGCGGGGTTTCCGGGCGAGGTTTTGGGGGGTTTGGGGTAGGGTTTTGGGGTGGAGGTTCGGAGCGGATTGAGGTAGGTAGCCTGTAGCCTGCCCTAAGCCCGCAGCCTGGTAATCTCTAAGTCAATCCTTTTTATTATGTATGTTAGGCCTCTCAGCCTGCTTGTGCTCTACCCAATTAGATAATAGGGCCCTCACATACACTCCTAATTACACTCCTATTGGTCTACAGACTTAGGCACAGCAACATCTACAAGTTGATGGCAACTTACGAGTATATTTCCCTAACCCAGAGGAATAGCATCTCACAAATTCATACCCCGAATTTTGGTGAGGGGTATGAGAATGTTAGAAATCCATAGTTTTGGGTATGAAAATGCAAATTTGCCCAAGAATGATCGTGAAGGTGAAGCGAAGCTCAGACTCTATGACACCGACAGGGAAATGGAGACCATTCTATTCAACTCGAAGCCGAGGCTTACTTCACTGAGACGTAGTGCTAACTCTACCCAAATTTCAATGAAATTTGATTAACAATCCAATAGAGATTTTAACGATCTTCTATCTTCTTGATACGCCATGAAAAGTTGGCATGTGTTGAATCAGATCGAAAAGTGCACTCAGGGACCCGATCCCCGGGCATATTTGTGTAAGTAGGTTGGAGCACGGCCGCCTTCAAGCTCTTCTGTTCTTCTTGGTAGTCAAGACAGTCGTTACCTATTCAATGGTCATAGCCAATCGGCCATACGTTCTTCCGCTACCGACTGCCTGTACTTTAAAGTACAGCATAAAGTGAAGTTTTACCGGATTGAGGACTAGCGGCGCCGCAATGCCGTGTTCTAAGGTAACGACCCCTCACCTTAGCAATGCACACCAGCGGCGCTCACCTCCAAAGCAAGACTGTCTCCATACTCGAGCCTCTCTGACCATCACACCGGCCACTCTTAAGGCACACCTATTGTTTTCTGTGCTTATGATGATTCTTCCGTTCCAAAGGATGAGAAGTGCCCCCCTTCAGCAGCTTCAGAAACGTGCATGCGCCAGAAAGAGACCAGGACGACAGAGTTGATGCTTAATAACAATGAGGACCGGGATGGTTCTGGATGCGCTGGAGGCGCTGGAGCACTTTGTTGAATCTTGACGACTAGCGGGAGAATCCCGTAAGGGAAGTTTAATACAGCCCGTGAGCGCATTCCTTGACGTGATGGCGGCCCTGAAGAGAGAACAATGATCGTGCTGACACATTTGTCTGCAGAACTTCATCCCTTCTACACCAGAGCAGTACAGCCAAGGAACAACACCCTCGCCACGTTGAAGCCTGCCACTACCGCCTGCTTACTTGAAGGTGACATATTACAATATTCGAAAGAGAGGTGAACGGTGGGTGCGCAACAGCTTTGAGCTATTGGTGTCACGCGGAAGCTCTGTCTGCAAAATGGGATCGAGGGAGGAAAGCACACGGCCAGAGAGGAGAAACACACGGTCCTTCTCGAGAGAAAGGCTATTCTTGAAGATTCAAAGACTACATGCACTCGTTTGTGCAAGCCAGGGCCAGAATAAGTGAGCCTGCTCAATAACAGAGGTCTTTGTACGCCGAGACATGGCAGGTCTTCCACGAGCTGTTATCTCGAACTGGTCCGGGGCTCATGGATTCCTGAAGGATGATGATCATACCTCGAGCCATCATAGCATTCAGAGCAACAGGAACATTCAGGGTCTCAAAGACTTTGACGAAGTCGTGGACGACGAGGGGATTGTACATGTGCCTAGACGCAAACAGCAACACGTTTCCTCGGACATTGCAAAGGTATCTACAGCTCAGAGATTTGGATGCAGCAATCCGGCCTATCACAGTCCCGCAATAAGCTTCTTGCCTCAAAGCTTCCAACAGAAAAGCATATCCCAAACAGCGCCAGTTCCTGAATTTCCAAACGAGAAATTGCAGGAACCTGCAAAAGACTAGGTCAGAGTTGACTTCCCAGGATCTCCAAGCGCGTGCCGTAAGGCAATTGGTGGTGTTGGATTAATGGCTACAGGCGCGGTATGCCAGGTCTGGAAATGTTTTCGGTACCTACGCTACGCTAAGAAACCCGGAAGCTGTCCAGCAGCTTTGGGACCAGCTTTTTAGGAATCTATGACATTGACCGAAGGCTCAGACACTTCCGGAACCTGATCGCTAAGACATTCGCCGACCCTATGCCGAAGTCCTTCAACTCCTAGAGAACTGTCCTCTACCGTCAAAAGCAGTGGATCATGCTGCAGCGCTAGAATAGCAGCTTCAGGTTGGGACAGACTGTGGCCAGCAAAAGTTGAGTTCTGCATCCGGCGGGCGGAGACCTGCAGAAGAAGGATGTCTACAACAATCATGTGCGGGATACTTGAAACGTGGAAGCGGATGAGTTCCTCGGGAGGAGTGGGACCAGCACAAGGATATGCGTGCAGGGCCGGAAAAGTTGCGCACTAGAGAGGATGGGGGCACCGATGGTCCTTGTAGGTGCACATTGTAGGACCTTGAGAGTAACTCAGGGATTCTGACGAGGATTGGCATTTCGCTAGCTGGCTTCCATGAGTTGCGCAGGATTTCTCGGCACTACTGGGATACTTGTCAAAGGAAGAGCAGCCGTACGAATGGCAAAAACAATAGTAGCAGGCTGCGGCATCGGTGCGCATTAATATATCGCAGTCCTATTAACGCAGAAAAAAGACAGCCATATCATCGAAGACCATCCCAAACATGGAACTGAACAGACTACGAATTACTTTCACCATTCACGAAACACGTTGGCCAGATCATGCTGTGCTCTCCTGCTCCCAGTGCAACCACGGCAAAGCATAAGACCCCTACCCCTATTTGACCTCGACTAGCATCATCTCAATCGCTTCACTCCGTCTCTTCTCCTTCGCCCTCATTCATGTCAAGGCCACTTTGCATCTGCAGCGACTGGGCGTACCCCTTTTCAGCCGAGCCCCCTTGTCTCTGCTTCATCTTTTCAGCCACTTTCGATTGACGTCGCTTGTACGGCTCGAACCTCGCAGATGCTGACGGCCTTCTATGGCTGGACTGCGAGACATGGTGAACTCTGTCTGGTCTTTGAGACGTCGTGCGATCCTTGGAGGGTCGAGGGTCAGGTTTGAATCGAGTTGGAAATGCATTATCCTGGCCTTTTACTACCTTGGCTACGCGAGCCGACTCGCCATCTCCTTCGCTTGCGTCCCCATCACTGCTGCTGCGCTGGTTTGCGTCTGGCGGACTCTTGACATCTGATACCTTCCGAACTGCGTCGAACTCTTGTGGTGTAGGCCGCGTGGTCAGTTTCGCGCGCTTCTCGACAGCCTGCTGGGATGGCAAAGCAGACAGTGAGTACATAGTTTCGGATGGCCCAAAGGATCCTGTAACATCAGTCGTGGTGATGTTGGCAAGCGATGCGATATCCCTGCTTGACTGCTTCCTGAACGTATACAGTGGCTTCTGATCCATCATTGATCTCGTGGCTAGGGTGTGGATTGGAGGTTGAGTAGCGTGGCAAACAACATTGTGGCCTAAGGATACTGTGCTTGGTGACTGAGAGGTCCACTTCTGATGATCGGGTCCGATTCCGGTACGTGGACTGAAGACAAAGCTCCGAGGCACTGAATGGCCTCCGCTCTCTAGAGGATATTCAGGCAAAGGTGCCATAGCTCCTCCCAATGGTGGTCCAGGGTAGCCGAGAATGCCCACTGGTGTCCATCTGGGCTCGACTGGATGCGCTGGTATTCCGGGGCAAGTCCAATTGCAATTCAAGTCCCGCTGAGAATCTCCGAAGCATTGCTCTGAGTCAAAGACCTGCGTAGCAGAACGTTGCAGAGGGACAAGCGGGAATGGTATGGCATTGCCTTGACGGGCTAAGTATGGACCATCCGATACCACCGCTTGCCTCCAAAGCTCGTCAATAGAAGGTATTGTGCAATCAGGTTTTGGTGTACTACTCAAATATGGCGGCGGCGGCGGAGGAGGCGGCGGTTGCGAGGCTTCATTCTCTAGTTTGACCTTTGTAGTGCGCCGTTTGCTCAGAGAGTATGGAGGCGGGGGAGGGGTATGTCGTCCTAATTCTTCGTAAAAGAGCATTTAGGCCTGGGTTTGAACGAGCGCAGGTCTGCAGATTACTAGGCTCGAGGGCTGAGGACCTCTTGTGGTGGTACCTTCCCAAGGAAAAAGGATCAGGATACGGGAGGTTTTCAGGTCAAGATGGGCTTATTTGGTGTGCCTTTCGACGGCTATGATCTCTCCTAGATTACGGCTCCGCGGAGGAAGGTCTTGCATAGAGTTGCTTCTGATACGTAAAGGCTCTAGTATCATTAGGTAGTAAGGTACGAGCTATGCTTGAAAGTCAGAGGCTTCGCCACAATTTGTTTGCGAAATACGGCTCTTTCATTGAAGTGCATGCAACGACTTGCTTCAAAGCAACAACGATACGAAAGAGAAGATCTTTGAGTGACAGATCAATCCAATATAATGACAAGGAAGCAGCAAAGTGACATGAGATTGGAGAAGATCGAGGCTGCGAAAACGGCTAACTGCATACATCTGGCGTATAAGCAAACAATCCATTGGACCATCGAACGAATCAAGTTATGTAATTCCGTTCTTTTCGTCATGCAAGCCAATGCACCTCGCCAACAACCAAACGGCAACGAGAAGGAAACAGTGTCCCCGCTTTTCAACTGGTCATTCTTCTACCCTCGAGCCATGTGCGCCGGGCAGCATCTGACTGCCGGCAGTAGACATCGAAAGCCGATCCTGCTCCGTATTCTGGCTTGCAACTCCTGCTCCATTTTCTCGAGTAGTTATCCTTACCTGTCTACGATCCTTTCAAGCCGTAATTCTCAACCATCAATACCTCAGTAATATCCCTGTGCGACGCTACACCAGCTGGTTTGGCGGAATTGAGGAGATGCTGAGATGAAATGTGGGCACCCGTGATGCAGCCTGGCCTGTGACGAATGTTCAAGACCGGGTCTCGTGCCGATGAGCTTGCGGCTGCCTGCATTGTCAGCACTCTATTATCGAGAGTGCTCTCATAGTAGTATTCGGTGTTTAGATTCCAGCGACAGGACTTGTGACGCGGGTAGAGCGGACAGCTTGAGGGGAGATACTGAATGCGGGTCGATGTAGGTAAGAGCAGTGGAGCTCGTCCAGCGAGATGATTTGATATTGTAGTGGTGGGAGGCTAACCAAATATGGACACAAAGAAGGATCTAGGACTGAAGCGATGGTGGGGACTGAATATTTACATATAGAGTGCTAGGGGGGATATTTTCGAGCTTTTCGTTGGTTGCTGCGTCCGGCATGGCCGCGTCGGGGGTCGCGGTAGCCTTCATAATGCAGTGGTGGAAAGTCGAACGTATTACTATCGCGGTTCAATGTAGGAGATGCCCGATAGCTTTGTGATGATAGAAGACAATCGAGAGATGAAAGTGAGAAGAGAAGCAGTGGAGGTGAGGTCATCGGCAAGTATCAAGCGCGTTTGCCGCAGCAAATTGTTCGAATTACTCCATCCCATACCTTATCTATCAACTCAATTACCGTCTACATTGCTGTTCTTTGAACCGGCTACTCCATAAAATGGTGACCGGCTCAGCAGAGGAGTGAGCGAGCAAGAAAGCGAAGAGGGTCACCGCTAGCTCCGGTGATTTCAGCCAATACCGTTATCCATGCTCAATCCTCATACTAGCTCACCGTACCGAAACTCGACCTCTTTCCAATACATACATACGCCAAGTGTCCCGCCCAAGCCGACCCTTTCGCCAAATCCTACACCAACGATGATCGAGGCGGAGGAGCGCCACCGGCGCGGATGCCTGCTGTCCAGCCCGCACCTGCACACATCATACCTAGATTTACACCCCGCAAATTGGGCCCTTTCCCTTTAAAACAGGAATCCGCGGTCAAGATGGCCGTGGTCTAGGTCGGTGTCTGGAAATACACGCATCCGCTCGCGCCCTCAGATACTATACCTTTTGTTGGAATTGAAGAGAGGTTATGGATTTATTGTCTATGGAGTGGTATGTAGGCTACTTAAATACCATGTGAAGCCCATGCTAATTTGCCACCTGATTGCCACCACGAGGGGTAGCTACAACACAGGTGCTGCAGCAAATCTCAATACCTTTGATGGTTTTGTCAACCTGCATAGTACGAGTACAAGCTACGAATCGCCCTCGAAAGTGGAGACATAACCTTAGTCATTAATGCACTCACCTCCTTCGTGTTACTGTCATCGCCTCGCACTCCCTGGGCGACGTGACGTCAGCTTTGGTGGCCGCCTGCACCAGATCAGTCCTATATCAAAGACTGAGCAATTTCACACTCCGTGAATGTAAGTATACGGTGCTTCTGGACGGAGCTGCGACGGACGCGCGCTATCATGCTTGGTCAAGACGAGGGGCTAGGACGTACCAGGACTCTTTACAGCGCTCAACGAACCTAGATACTACTGCTACTGAGAAGATTAGACTTATAGGGGCCGGTGAAGATGACCCACCTCGTGCAGAGGACTTTTATGAGCGCGAGACACTATCCAGCACACGAGTCATTATTTCGAGACCGCCTTTTTTGGATGATGAGACCAGCTCAGATTGTCTCGGAAGACCATCTACATGGTTTCAAAAGCACCAGCGTTCCTCCAGAGGAACTACTGTACTCACCAGTAGACAGTCCGAGCATCTTATATCTGTAAATGCTGCTAAGCCACTTGAGGCGAAGGCAGAAGAACATCAAGCCCAGAGGAGAAAAGTCACGGCTCATGTGCAAGAGCCTGCGATCGATTGGGGAGCCGGAAGATCCAATAGCGCAGTGAAGTACGGGGTTGAGCCTTGGAGTTGACATGTCAGATGAAATCTGATAAGCTTTGTCATTCTCGATGAAGATGGTCGGGTATGGCTTCATTGACCAACCGACTAGTGGTGGCGGAGTGACTCGTCAACCCTCGAGAATCCGGGCAAGTCCTGATGTCGACCTATCAAATTCGGTACGAAGGAGCATCTCGGCTCAGCCCGGTCGAAATCTCCATTGGAACAAAAACAAAGATCTCACATAAGCTGGGCAAAAAGAAATCCTGACGTCCTATTTTTCCACCTTTTACGATGACCCCACAGAGCGGCAAAGAACGCATGTACCCATCGACGAGAGTCTCTTGAATCCCAACCGTCACACAGGTTCACAGTAAACCATCCTATAGCTTCCCCTTGTTCAATCACGTTCGCAAAGCGGGCCGACTCTTTCTCCATTGGGTCCAAATTGAGGGAGTATACCGAATGCAACCTTTCGTCCCGGTATTCCTCGTGGATCCTACGATTCAAGCTATCTTCGTTTGTTTATGTAGCCGTAAGGCGTGTTCCGGAGTCAAGAGGTGGTAGGGTAGTTGGGTATACCAGTCACTCTCAGAAACTATAGACGAAACAAAATCAATCAACGAGGATTGCATCAGCGTTTGGAAGCCACTTAGAGCGCTCATTGGAGGCTACCGGGGCATCTTCTGCCAGTATATCGTGCTCAGGTGTGAGCCGAGGAATGTTGGCCACCGCGTCTGTTCTTTTCATCTCCGCTTGACCTTTGCTTGAAGCTTGGCCCCCACCCTCAATTCAACGCCTCTGGTGATCGTTTCTGGAATAGTGAGTAAGCGTCCAGACATCTGTCGGACCATCCGATCGCTTATTCTTTAGGGAGTCTCACCACAATGGAACCGTCACGGCACGAAGCGTAGGGTGCGGATCAGGGTTAGATAGACCTTTGCACTAATTAGCTGCACAATGATTGGACGTTGTAAATGGTGAGCCCCGCAGTGCATCGTAGGAGATCATCGTCAACAGCTTGCATGAGCTCCCCTCACAACATGGCGCTTTTTGCACGGCACCTACTTTTTAGGTGCAGATTCAGTACCCACTCTCGTCAGTCTTTCGGTGCGAGAGGGACCTCAGTGAAGAAAAGGACTTCCAATAGTCATCCTCTGAGAGTGTATGTGCGTAAGCGTTACAAAAGGCACCTGAAGGAACATCCGAGAAATTTCAGCGTGGCAGGGTGAAACAAACACTGACCTCGGCTTGGGCACGAGGCTTCTGCCTGAGGTGGGAGGCCGAAAAATGGTTGACGAGAAGCTTATGCAATTACAGGGCTAATGGCAGGCTGCAGCAGAAAGTTCTCCCGTTATCTCCGTGTCTTCGCGAAGGATTCGTCATCGGTTTGAGCCATGGGCGGTCTCATCTACATCCCTCGTTATCGATATCTGCAAACGGGAAGCGCAGGGCCACATTGGCTTCGTTCTATGGCGTTCTCGAACACCTCCACAGCGCCGGAGTCGTAAGTGCTAAACAAACGACCTTCAGGGCGTCGCGCTCTTGACCGAACGGTAAAGAATGCAGAATAATCCTGTTCATTTCCCTCTTGAACTGTATTTCCTAGATCACTATCCCGCAATTGGCTGGTCATCTTTACTTCGAGAGGGTTGTCTTTCCGCCACAATACTCCCACTAGCGTTCGATTCGAGAATGTAACGCCCAGCACCTGTGATCTCCGAAAGAAACCTAGCTAGTCATCCTCGACGCCAAAGCCGGATTTTTATCATAATGGTTGATTTTGGGTTCTCGATATAGGAAGGCGTTTCCAGGGCCGGAAATGGTGGTCAAGTAGCTTTTTAATGATGGCATTCAGGGATTGCAGGAGCCAAAATGGAGGGTTCAATAGTCATTGATATCATCTGTACGGTATTACTTGCCACTGTGCCATGGGAATCCAGACCTCCGGCTTGCTGAATTGCATTCTACAGGCTGTAACCTCAGGGTAGCATTGCAGAATCTTTTGCTTCTTCCTTTTCAATTTGTATCTTTTCGCTTAGAGGGCAGCAGCCCATTTCCGGAAAATCTCGTTCGACACTCACTCTATGGACTTGATGGGGAATTTTGGTGCAACTTGGGAAGTTCAGTGCGGACATCACTCCCTTTTGCTCATAAAAGGAGCTTTCACCCTCCTCTCTTTCGCTGTTTACTAGTAAAAATACTGCTCTTTGTCCTCTAATACCACTTGAATCAGATCTGACCTAGCTTCTATCGCACAGTCGCCCAGCATGTCTGGCCTCTTCCTACTAGCCATCATGGTAGTGCCCAATGTCATAGCATTCCCATGGGTGGCCGGCATGTCCGGCGTCAGATCTGTCTCTGAGATTGAAGCTCAACTTGCCAAACGTCAAAGCACCTGCCCATTTAATGCGAACCACGTACCGGCTGCCCCAGCCACGTCGAAGTTCCCTTATGCAGGTGCCATCAACGGACTCCCCAGTACCCGTCCTGGGAACTTCCAAGTGCCCGCTAACGGAGATACTGCCCATGCATTTGTGGCTCCGGGTCCCAACGATATTCGAGGACCCTGTCCTGGATTGAACACTGCAGCAAACCACAATGTCCGTCTTTAGGCCCCGTCAGCTTGATGGTATTTTCACTGACCTATGAATAGTTCATCAGCCACGACGGTGTCACAACTTTCACAGAGCTACTCGATGCGCAGCAAAACATATACAATGTCGGCTATGATCTTGCGGTCTTGCTAGCAGTCCTTGGCGTTGGCCTAGACGGAGACCCGATTACAGAGAAGATGTCCATCGGATGTGATGCCACAAGTCGAACGTCATTGACCGGTTCGCTTCTTGGCGCTGAAGGCGGTTTGGATAGTCACAACGCGCGTATACCTTACTCCTGAGTTCCTATATCTTCACACTAATGTTAAAGACAGAAATTTGAAGGAGACGCATCTCTAACACGTGCCGATTTCTTCTTCGGTGACGACCACACATTCAACGAAACCTACTTCGCCGAGTTGACAGCGCTCGCCTACAAGGGAGGCGACAAAACCGATGTCATCAACAGCTACTCATTCAATCAAACCGTTGTAGCCCAACACCAATTCAACCGCTATCAGAACTCAAAGGCCACGAATCCCAACTTCTTTTTCGGACCCAAGGCCATCCTGCTCTACGGCGCTGCATCCTTCCTCTACGAGCTCTTCCCTTCCCATGGTCCTGATGGGGCACCCGGCTTCCTCGACCTCGGCTCCTTCTACGGCACCACTAATCCCAACGCAAACGGCAATGTCGTGTTCAACAACACGGAGCACGTCCCCATCAACCCCACCGGTGGACCAGGATGGTTCAGTCGCACCAACCCATACAATATCAGCGCTCTTGTTCTTCAAGTCGTCGATCTGTACACTGCACACCCCGTCCTCTTCGGCGGCAATGTTGGAGTGGGGAATTTTGACGCACTCAACTTCGGTGCCATCTCCAAAGGCCAGTTAAGTCTCAGTCCACAAGATGTAACGTGCCTGCTCTACCAACTTGCGACGGACGATGTACCGGATAGCTTAAGTTCGCTTCTGACCTTGCCGAGTGAGATTTTGAATTTTACTACTTCCAAGCTCAATCCAATCTTCGAGAACAGCGGGTGCACGCTGGCCTCGCCTTTGTAGGCGCTCGGAATTTGCAACGGCTGAGGCGAAGGAGGGAAAGCAAAGGTTGCGTGCGTTGCAGGTTTTTGTATTACAGATTGTTACATAACGAATGTTTGTGTCAGGGGAAGACGCATTAGTAGTTAAGCTAAATAAATAGGGTGCCATTACATATACACCCCTTTTCGATACATGTGTACACCCCGTCTTATATCCGGGTGCTGTATCCAGTCTGGGTGGGCTGATTGAGCTCGGCGCAGTCTCGGAGTGCTTTAAAGGCCGTATGTCTTGCTATCTGCATAGTGCGTCACTGGTGAACAGACCAGCCCTTCGGGCGTACTGGAGAGCGTGGATCTTAAATCTAGCCTCACGGGGCTCCTTCGGCCCGGAATGGCGTCAATACCTTGGCCTTGCAAGGCCGGATCTAGCCAGGATCAACGCGGATATTTAGGCCATTCTCGCAGTGCATCAAGTCTCTGGGGCTTGACTCTTTTGGGACATTCTCACAGTCGGTTCAGAGGATGAAGAGCTTGCCATTTGTTCCCAGCCCTAAGGCGGTCGAAGATATCAGGAAAGGGAGATTCACCATTGGCGAGGAGACCTGATGAGATAAATGTAAACGTGTAGATCTAAGTGCCCCAATAGATGACATTCATGGTTTCCAGGAGGCCACGGTTAGTGTCCTGAAGGAGACAATGTTTGTTTGAAATTGGGCGCAGGAGAGGTGGACTTTTGCGAAAGTCCTTGCGGGTGAGAATTGAAAGGCTTTCATTTGGGAGAGATGATGAGAGAAAATCAAGGGAGGAAAAGTTTTGGAGGTGGAACGGAGAGAAATTGTAGAGAAAAGGGGATGAGTGAGCTGGACACGGGACTCGCTGATCAGAAAGGAGATTGTAGGAAAAGCGGTGCAGAGAGACGGTCAACCTCGACTCCTCAAGCCTTCTAAATCTGTGGAAATCACTCCTATATACACTTAGCTGCAACCCATAATGCTTCGTATTCCTTTCAGCAGCATCTTGAGCAATTGAGCTGGAATAGGCGAAGATCCGCTGCCTATCCTGCTTGTGCAATGTTTTCCCCATGGCGCTTGGAAAATCACCGATTCGTCTTTTCGAGGAACTATGCTGCTGACGATGGAGCAGCCTTGGGTATGCTCTCCTTTGCACCGACTATCTGTGTACCAAAAGATACTCAGTCGGTTTCTGGGTAAGAATCTACCTAGTCTGGAGGAAAGTCGTTGAATCTATGGCCCGGACAGTGCAGACGTGAGACCGTTCCTTCAGAGGGGCAAAACCCGCACAGAGAGAGAATACTGTGCGCGAAACTCGAAGTAAGGTCCGATGTTCCGCCGTTGCAGCTACCAGATATCTTGCTCTGCAAGCTTATCAGGTCGCACCAGTCTTGAAGGGTCGGGCGGACAGAAAAGGGAACCGCATCCGGGCAGGAGAATCCCCATCAAACTTGCGGTATTGAGAGGAGACATAAGGTTTCTACCTAGTGATACTCACTACAGGTCAATCCCGCCTTAGCATCGCTTTAGCAGCGATACTCTAGCCCTATATTGCAAAGGCCTTTTCCAAATGTTCGCCGGCTTCCAATCTGACGTCCTGGCCCCGATGATGCGCACTTGTCCGTCCGTCCTCGGAGCTACTGCCGCTTGATATCGTAGTCCCTTTGCACTCGTTCTTGACACAAGGTCAGTAGAGTGTGCACAAAGGGTTGTGAGACTTACGCCGCTTTTCGGATTTGTCGCAGCCATTTGACGCCGAAGAAATGGCTTGGTAGACACACTGCCCAAGTTTTACCCTGTCTCTCAATATGGTCTGCGCATCGGAACATGCCACTTGTTCACGTATTCCTTTGCAGAGGTCGACAGATGTGATGCTCGTTCAGATTCGGCTAACATGTAATAGTTAATGGAGTATCGCAAACAGGCTCGATCCAGGAATTCTGAGAGGTCACTTTGTCGATATGAATGAGCAGCAACAGCGAAGACCTGAGGACACGAATACGCGCTTTTAACGACGCGACGATCCATTTTCGTAGCGCCACTAAGAATACTCGCAGGACGACAGACGACAACTAAGGCACCAACAATCGCACTAGCAGGATGACATTCATTGACAGCGATGGCGTCGACATGTGTATTACTTTAAGTGGCTAGACCTGACGATTGAAAGTCTGAGCTCAACGTATCATGAGTGAGAGCGACTGTACCCGAAAGCGCGCCAATCCGATACGAAGCACTAAACTTGCAGCCTTTCCTCATTAGGAGTCGCTAAAAGATCAGTCCCGCTTACGTTTCGGAGACGTCCGGTCGTCCTATACACGGTGCTATTTAAATGCCGTTAAGGAAGATGTCCTAACCTACCTTGGATTGCCCTGATCTTTGGTGTATGCCGTTGTGAAAAGTATGAATTATGGAGGTCCTCGGAGCCAATTGTGTGTGTTTTTCATGATAGAGTCGGGGTCGTAGCTGAGGGTGAAAATCAGAGAGGATCAAGTGAGCGAATGGTATTCATGAGGGACGCTATGAGTGGCCAGCTAGCGGACATCATATCTCGTACATTCACCGTCATGGTTGTAGACGCAGCGCCAGCAACTCTGAACGGCCATCGGCTTGAAGCTTGACGGAGACAGGGAGGTTGGCATACAAAATAGGATCCGGCTGAATAAATGGCTCCTGCTGCACTCCATCGTCTTGGGTGAAAGATGGAGGATTGAGGATCAACATGGAGTCTGAAAGATGATGCCGTGGACGCGCTTTCGCATCCGAGAGGAAAACCGACTTTATTAATCCGTTAAGGAGGAGCATGATGTCTTGAGTCTTGGCAGAAAATAGCAGAATGGATGGCGATGCGTTGAGTGGTTCTCAGAGGAAGGTCCTGGCGACAAGAGTCCAGCGTTCAAGCGAGACTAGCGCTATCTCAAACCCAACGCCTAGGTTGTGTTGTTGCCTGCCACCATTCCGTCTTTCTGCCTTCTTTTCCTCCTCAATATGGGACTTTGAATAGAGTAAGTGAATATGACTAGCTACTCTCCTACCTGATCGTATTCCTGCAACAAGACTATCATTTTGCCATCCCTCACCCAAAACATCTGTGCATGTCGCTAGGTGATTCGAAACTGTAGTCTGTCTTCTCTCTCTTCTTCTAGACGAGGACTCCAATTACGTCTAGATTGCAAAGCAGTCAATAGAACACAAAATCAATGCCGCCCCAATATTTCCGAGTGAAGGCTTCATTACAAAGACAGGACGCAGCACTACCGAGTTCTGGGCAAGTTCATCGAATGTTCTAGAGCGGACGCCATGAAACCGTAAGCTGGGCCTCAGAGATGAGCTTTATCTCAAGGACTCTGTCACCAACATACTCCCGAAGAAAGCTTTCGCCTTTCTGTACGCAAGCACTCATGGAACAGTCCCTCTCAATTGCGGGTCCCCCACTCTGCCATTCACTCCGTAAAGACCTGGTACGCCTGTCGTACCTTCCACAGACTTCCGAGATCCCGACCATCCTCCGTCACCACACTGACCGCCTTCCAAGCCTCCGAGGCCTTGGAGTGGCGTTTCATCTGGAACTCCTTATCCATGCCGCCGATGATGTCCTTGGGGCCCTTGCAGTCATACAGGATGCCGTCGAAGTCCGCGCGGGCCGGTGCGATGCGCAGATCCAGACGGCTCTTTTTCATGCTTTGCAACACCTAAGGGGGACGAGAAGTCAGCATTATGAGTGGAGAAGGTGACTCAAGCGAGAGTCTTACCTCTCCAACTTTAACGACTGGGCCACCGTCCGGGTGGTATGTTACGCAGAGCCTGTCACCTACTTTGACCGCGCCATATCTGACCAGCAAATCAAGCTTGTGCTTGCTTGGAGCTCCATTTAGACCATCTTCGCTGATGCTGTTTTTGATCATCCACTCTCGGTCGTAAGCTTTGCCGTTGGTGGCAGATAAGATCTGGACGGGTAAGGTTTCTGGAATGTTCGCAGGTGTCCCAGACGTGCTAAGCTGAGAAGAGGAGGTATTCGCGTCTGATTGATGTAGTCCCTCAGAAGCCGGCTGAGGTCCATCCATTTCAACGTCTTGGTCGTTGCTAGTTTTGCTGGCCTGGGTAACGGTGGAATGAGCTGAGGTGGATTGTGTCTGAGAAGCCTCTCCGGGGTTTCGTGGCAGACTTTCAAAGAGCATTACGCCGTTGTCAGGATTGATCCGACAAGAAAGAATTTTTCGGTTATTATCAATAAACAAAAGGTTGTCCGTTGGAGCAATGGCTTGAGCGGCTTCCCTGATCTTGTCCAGAGTCATGAGCTCGTGCTGTGGAAGGAAAGTGACGTGAACCTCCGTCAAAGGTAGTGAAGTTACTGGTAGTGTCATTGCCCCAAGGAGTGCTTTGCCATGCCATTGACCAATTCTGCGTGACAGAATGTGTCCGTCGTCCTCAATCACCAATAGGTTCTCTATGAGAGTGACCTCCTGAGAACTTGTTTCTCCGTCCATGTCCAGGGTGAGCGACCAGTTCTGCAACACGCAACTGACTTGTAGTTGGTTGGTAACCTGAGTGAAGACCAGTGAATGTATCCAAACCAAATTTAAGCGCGGTCCGGTGGGAGCAGCCGTAGAGTTGTGATAGGAACTCTTGCGCTAGTGGGGATTTGAATAGGGACACGATGGATACTGCAGCTTGCGTGGCGTCAGAGAGTGTATCCTTAAGCGTGTCGAATACTACTCACCTCAGTATTGTCGTTCCTTGCGGTCGAGCTGCTAGAAGGAGCGCCATCTTCGATGGTAGCATCATTAGACTGAAGTTACTTGTTCACATCCATCCTTCGATCTGCAACTTGAAACTTTTAGCAGTGTTAACATGTACAAATGTCGTATTGTGCCCAAAGTTCTACCTTCCTGAGAGACAAAGTTCCCTGCGAACCACTCGATCCCGCAGAGAACTTTGCGCAGGATACCATCGATCTTGCAAAGCGCATCACCCTGTCGAATCATAGTAATCCAGTGCGATGTGCACGACCTTGACAGGTCATTTTGGATAACAAGTCCGCCGAGATCGGGGCCTTGGAGATGGCAGGACAGGGAGAGGAGAGTAACGACCAAGATAGCATCAGGGCACCCCGCAACTAGTAGTCTATCTAACTCGATGAATTCGCCCTCGCAGATCTCATCGACGACGTCAAGCTCCGCCTCTATTTATCCTCTCTGCCATCTTTTCTATATTTATATTACGGAATGGGAAGTCCAGGAAAATCCAGATCTCGGACTGTTGGAATATATGAAGGATTGATTGATTAGTAGCTATGAGAGTGCTGAGAGAAGGCTACTTATACCCCCATTTGCCACCTGATTGCCACCATAAAGGGTAGCTACAACACAGGTGCTGCAGCAAATCTCAACACGGACCGTGTGCTGTTGCCGAACAACGAAGGTCTCTGCGCTTTCCGTTCGATCAAGCGTCTTACTCCAGTATCATCCGCCGCGCTTTCCCAGGTAACGTCCCCGTTGTACAGCCTCTTTACGCCACACTCGCAACGTCCGTAAGACATGGTAGGACCCAGTAGTCAGCAAACCAGATGAGGCCAGGTCTTTGCTGACACGCCAAAGTGGCACGGAACTCGTCCACAAATCAAGTATCTTTTAAATTGCTGACCGTGCTTCGGGCTCATTTGCGCCAGTAGATGCAATCTCCCAAGCTCTAATTTTCAAACACATCAGGTCTATGATCGAACAACCTAATCGTATTCAGCCCAGCAGCAGGAACAGTATCAGTCATACGTACGTGAAGACAATCCTTGAGCTTTGTATGCGAACACGGATCGAGACGGCTGCATGAACGCTCACGTCTCAGGACACGAGCACCGTTTTTCTTCCGCCCATCCGATCAGCTGCCGGCCATGGAAGTAGTGGATGAGACCCGCTTCATTACGACAAAGCCGAAGTTCAAATTTGCACGAAATCTCCGCCATGTGAAAGGATGCGGTTCGATAGGTTGGATGGTGGGGGACAGCTCTTCATGAGGATCTCATTTTACGAAAAGCTTCATTCCGGCACGATTCCAGCCCGTTGAACAAGCCCCGAGCTCCTCCACTTGGTTTCAGCAGGGTGAGTGACTGACTCGCCTGAGAGAAGATGATCCGCTGACATCGCTGATATTGTAGGGCTGCGCACCAAAAGTCCTTGATCTCGATGCAATATTATAGGTATTTGTGGGCTCAGCTGGAGAGCATCGGGAAGGTCGGCACTGGGTCAGTGCTCCTACCCGCGGGCCACTCCGTCGATACGACTCTATGAGTCATCGACCATATCCTGCCTCGTCACTTATGTAATCGAACATGGTGAATCTTTTGTGGTCGTATTTTAGTGAAGAGGCAATCATCAAAGAAGTGGGTCTCTGAAAGAGGTTGGCCTCTAACATCCGCAACGTGCTAAGGACTGAAAGACTGATGCAACGAGAGCTAAGTAGGTACTGAAGGTTGAAAATAATCGTGCCATGAAATTACATTGCTATCTTGGTAAAACAAGGTAAGTGCGTGGTACGATTATATTATTCCACCCTGCTTGAGCGTTGGTTCACGGACGAGCCCACAGTATCGTCTCGACCCCCAAGCAGAATCAAATCATTCAAGAAGGGCAACTCCATGCCCAGCTGTGTGTGTCTGTTTTCCACTCAGAGTGGGGCTTAAACGCCATTTGAGCTTAACCCTCTAGCTGGGAGCCCCCCCCCACTCGGCTACCCAAGTACCTAGTCAGCAAAGAGGAATGGTATGAGTACGGCATCCGGCATCCACACAGTGTCGCAACATGTGGTGGCTCAGTGGTGTTGACTGATCCCAAGTCTGATTCCGGGAAACCCGGACAGGAAGTCCCTGGAAATCCCACAGGGTTCAAAGGGGGGCCAAAGCTCAGGCTTTAAGCGTTGTCATTTTGGGGGCGCTTAGCCACCAAGCCTAAATTTGGGATCGCCCGGTCCAGGTTGCCGGGCCCCGGACTCCATTTGGGGGGGCCGATGTCTACAGTCTAAGCAACCCTCTCGGGCGGGCCCGGCGGAGGCTTATCCGTACCATGGGTGCACATCAAGATGTGTCCTTAGCGTGAAGATTGGAGAAGAGGAGCTTATGTTTGTAGCGCTCCCCGGCACCAAGACTCCGCCAATACCGAAATCATGATAATTATCGACAGAAATGAAAAGAAGGCCTGTGACCTACGTTAGGAAAGCGCATTCAAAATCACTACTGTAAGTGCTCGAGAACGGACCACATGTGCCCACTTTCATTACGTTCACGTGTTACGCCATGGCAATAAGTCAACCAAGTCCGAGGAAAAGGAATTGGTAAGTGAGCATGGGTGTACATGTTTCGTATGCAAGCCCATGCAAGCCATATGCGCTTGGGGCCCCTTGCTTTGTTTTCCCTATTACCTGCAGAATGCGATCATCCAACCCCCCCTTTTGATGTCCAATCATCCCCCATTTCACTCACACTTTCGACATAACTTCAAAACCCCTTCCTTTTCACCGTAGTTGACGTGACTCCAGACAATCCTTTGCATTTTCCTTCCTTTGCGTGCAACATTCTTTCCTTATGACTTGGGATGGCCTCCGAACCCGATGATTACCAGACTATCAGCGACAATTGTCCAGGGTACATGGTCTTGATCTCGGAGGGTATAATCTGCACTCGCTGCGCAGGGGAGAAACGTCACAGGCCGAATGATTGCCCGAAACCTACAACTGCTGCGGATCTAGCCACAGAGACCTTTTTGGAGGGAGATGCAACTGGGGACGACAATGCAGACCCGGGGATGGAGTCTCTCTCGGATACGAGTAGTATATTTTCGGAGTCGACCGCTCGCTCGGAGAGCTCAGAGATGCAAGTGACAGATGCGCATCAGTCGGACCAAGGTGGTAGCCACCAGCAAGACACCCATCTACCAAGCCGCGGCTTCGCACGCCCCGATGGCAGCCACACAGATAGTGAGCCTGACCGCACCAGCCCTTCGCCGCCAAATCGTCGAGCCGAATTCAGAGTCCCCAAAGTCCCCTTGAACGAACCCAGCCGAGCCCCCAAGATCTTCGTTAAAGCCAACCGTCAAACACCCAATACAGCTACCACCCACAAGTCCGGACTTGCCAACACCACTGGAAAATTTGATTACGACAATACAACATGTCCCAGCTCCTTTGGATTCGGACGACTCCCTTCAGAAGCCATGGGCTGAGCAGAAAGACGGAGCATACAGTGGCGCTGAGCATTTCGGTACGTATCCGATGGGAGTTTTGCCCGTGCTCCGTGAACCGCTACTTGTTCAAAGCCGGCTCTAACCTGAAGCTCTGCAGGATCGTACGATGAGATACAGGCTGCCGTTGCGGAGACTAGAGAGGCTGTCAGGAGGTACATTTGTCCCAGCACTTACGCGAGTGTCGAAATATGATTCATTCATTGCCTTGGGTGGATAGCAAGCGTCGTATTATCATTCCTTGCCCTGGGTGGATTGCAAGCGTTGAGTTATATTCCTTGCCCTTGGTGAATTGCATGCGTCGAAATTATGATTCCATACCCTGGGTGGATAGCAAGCGTCCAATTATATTCGTTGACCAGGGTGGATAGCGCTCGTTACTCGATTCAGTTACATAGTCATGTTACTCTGATTTTGCGGCTCTGTGTTAGTAGCTCAATGTTTTGACGCGTTCGCGACATCTTTAGCATTTCAGGATCTTTGCGGTCGTGGTGGTGCTTCCAAACAATAGGCTTTCGTTGCTAACGAACCTTACACTTGGGACTCCTCACCCTCGTTGAGCGGGTTTTCGCGTCTCCAATCCTTTTCCCGGACCCATCGAGTCATTGGTTTGCATGTCCAGCATAACAATCAACGCAACGGATGCATTCGACTAGTTCATGTCCCGAAGCTTCCCAGGCCTTCAAGTGAGCTCTTACCCGTCAAACGATACCTGCAAAGAGAGCCGGAATTGGAAGAGGTGGTCCGAGATTTGGAATGAAAACAGCGCCCATCACTTCCAAGGCCAGCAGATTGCACGCCTAACAAACAGCTGACATGAACTCTTCCAAACCCCCTGACGTCTTCGCGATTAAGCTTTTCTCCCTTTCTCCGAGGCGACTACCAAGCAGCGCCTCAAATTCCACCGTCCAGGCTCGCATTTGAATTCGATACGGAGGAGATTGATGGCCTCTTCACTAAGGCACAGGATTGTCGACCCTCCGCCATTCCTAACGGCCATCGCCTGCGCTGTTTTCTCGGGTGGACTTGATGCTTGCATTTTCCACGTGGCTAGTACTCAATAAGTGCTCGAATGGCATCAAGCGCAATGATCTGCTCATGGTATTCGTCCTTCCCATTGGTGGTTCGGTACGGAAGAGCAAGCGCTGCCGTTTTGGCTGAAGGGCCATGGTGATACGAGGTGAAGACTGCTAAGCCGAGGCCGTGTGTGGAACTCGATTGGACGGCAAATATGGTTGAGGGGTAGGGGTAGGATTGAGTTTTAAGCCGGCGTGGCATTCCAAATTGTGCAGGGCCAGGCTCGACATGCGTGCGCAGGGATGCGAAATACTCGCATGCAGCCTTGTTATAGGGCTGCATACTTCCCTTTCCCGGCTCAGCGGATCAAACATATGGCCTCCCAGGGTTATCATACGCCTCCCCAGCAGACCCTGTAAAATTAGCTCGCAACCATGTCCAGCTACAATTGGCAAACCCCAGTCGATATCCTTTTCAAGCCTTAATCTAACTGAAGGGACCTCGCAGTGACATGAAGTCAGCAGCAGAGCTTCCGAGCACGTTTCACACTCAAATTTTTACCATCAATCCCTGCGGCAACGGTCATATCCTTTTGCATCTCAGTCATAGTCTCCGAGTCAGTCTCTGCTCGACGTCTCATCCAGCGGCGGGCTCACAGAACGGTGCTTGCCTGTCATAAGAACCAAGCATATTGGCACCATAAGATGATTCACAGGGGTATTCAAAAGGCAACCTACGGCTGAATATCCCTGTCCAGAACGAATTGTCCATGCGAATCGAACCTAACAAAAGACATGGCGTTTGAGATCATCCAGGCTCTGTGCTCGACTGGACATGCACCTCAAACAGGGCATGAAGAGCTCTTCTGTCAAATTTGGCTGGTCGCTGCCTTTGAACCAATGCGTTTCCTGTAGAGTATGCCCCACTGTCTCCCAAATTTTGGCCCATCGATTTGTCTTGTGCGAGCTGTCACGTTCTCGCGTACCTGCAGTACCAGATTGCGATGATTGCTCGTTTGCATGTGCTGTCTCCCATTTGCTCTTTGCAGTTTGTCCCCGTTGCTGGCTTTGCGTAGATGTCAATTTTTGGTCAGTCTAGCAAACAAAGTTGGGTTATTTCAAACAGCTCTCTCTTGTGTGAGATTCGCTCTTTTCAGTAGAAGAAAAGACCTTCAGATCTGTCCCGGGACATCTATTCTCAACTTACGTCTACCGCGGTGATCTATTAACCGGATCTAAATGACATGCGCTGAACAGCGCTCCGGAGAGCGGTGACGTCAAAATCAAGCCATGGGGAGTTCCTTGGCTCGTATCAAGACCATTGACGTAGACGAAGGCCTCTTCCCCATTCGACTCGACCTTGGGAACCCAAGCATCCAGGAGAGCGTTCAGTTGTGGGCAAACTACTTTGCGATGCAATTGCACAAGCGGGATCTGGTTCTCTACCTCTATAACATGGCTTTCGAGGCTTTTCCTCCGAACGGGTCTGATCAAACAGACAAAGAGATAAGCGATCCCGAGGGAAAGAAGTTGGTGCAGGTCATTCGATGCGCATTGAACCTTTCAACCTTCAACGAAATCGAATCCGACATTGCCACAGATTCTAGTAAGTTGCTGATATCATGCAAGAAGCTTGAGAGCAGTCAAATGCAAACGGGCTGATTCAAACTCTGGGCGGGAAACGAGACCAAACCACGGAAGAAGGCCACTCGATTCCAGAGGACCCACAAAGACAACTGTCTACTTTGCGTATCCGACCTTTTGAACTCTTTGGCATCTAGGACCCAAAGGAAAGAGGCATATGAGAACACATTACCTATCATTCAGGCTCTCGATATCATTCTCGGCCACTACGGAAAGTTATCCTTAGAAATCGCGACGCCGAAACGTGGCAAATGTTTCCCCCAGGAACCAACAAACCTCAACAGATTCCCGCTACAGAGTCCCAGGGATACCCCGAGTTATCTGCAAGGCGTCCGAGGCTTCTTCGCCAGTCCTCGAGGTACCACGGGTCGCACATTGGTCAACTGTAACGCTTGTTGTGGCGCTTTCTACAAATCCGGACCTCTCGAGCACCTTTTCGCCATGTCCATCCCCTCTAATCGGAGTCCCTCTCCAGAGCACTTCAAGAGGCTTGTGAAAGCCATTCAAGGTCTGCGAGTTGAATCCAACCACCTGAAAGACGACAAGGGCAACCAAGTGCGGTTGCTTCAGACCATGTTTGGGCTTGCACGTCCTTATGATGGGCCCAAAGATGTCGAACTCTATCACAAGGAAGACGAACAGGCTTACACCGTCGCGACCTACTGGGCGAAAAAGAGCACTTCTCTCCGACATCGGCTTTTGAAGTTTATGACATTTTATAGGATACGAGCCGCCCATTCGAAACTTCGCATACCCTGTGGTTAATGTGGGAGATAAAATCCATCCGACCTTCTTGCGAGACGCATGTGTGCACCATAGTTCCGGGTTAGATGGTTAAAAGGAAACTTGACTCTACCCAAATCGCCGACATGATTGAATACGCCAGACGTGCGTCTGAGGAGACCGGAAGGTCCATCAACGCAGACGCCTTCAGAGTTCCTGGCCCAGATGACAATAGTGATACACTTGTAAATGGTCCCTGTATTTGGTTATGATTTTGTTCAGAGGCTGACTTCAGCAGATATCTTTCGGGATTTCCTTAGTTTCCGGCATGGTCACTGTTCAAGGTCGTCTCTTGGAACAGCCAGCAGTCAGCTACCAGAAAGATTCCACGGCCCGTGTAATTGACGAAAAAGGTCGCTGGAATCTTAGAGGCGTGTCAAAAGTGTTCAAACCAGGGCAGTTGGAGAAGTGGGGTATTCTGAGAATTACCCGAGATGAAAAGGATTTGAGGTACGTACTTTTTGAAGTAAATTCTTCCTTCTTGGTAGCATATTAGGGCCACAATCCAGGTTTGGTAGCAGAAAGTTCTTTCACTCCTTCGGAGTTGTCTTGTTACTTAGGTGACTTGCCACGTTTCGGCAGCGAAAGGATGTCTCTGCTCTTCAGACGTTTCTCGGTCTGTTACCCAAAGAGAGCTACACTAACCCCGAGATCTGCGTAGGGGCGAGCAAAGCACTTTCGACGAAAGCTTTCGCAGTTTTCTTGCCACCCTTAGAAACTACCTTTGCGGAAACAAACTCGATAAATCAGTCCATTTGGGGCGGCAGACGATCTATGAAGGGCACGAAGATGCTATTAACCGGGAGTTCGACCGCTGTGTGGAGCAGGATATCTGCTTTCTCATAATCGTCTTGCCCGACAGTGACGCAAGTACATACAACCACATTGAGAAAGATAGGCGTCATCAAATGCGGGACCAACACTGTATGTGTCTTGGGTGAGCAGAGGAAGTTCTACAAAGGATCCCAAGGCGAATCGGTATTTGCCAACGTTGCTTTGAAAATCAACCTCAAGCTCGGAGGGATCAATCACATCCTTGAAAATCAAAGACCGCTCTACGAAAACACTATGGTCATCGGTATAGATGTGACACACCCGTCCCCAGGTCCAGCCAAACGGACAGCACTGAGTGTGGCAGCCATGGTAGCCAATGTTGACAACGAGGTAACCCTTTCCCGTTCTCACTTATCTCCCAGGTGCAAGAAAGGGCTAATGTAGAGAAAAACCAGCTCGCACAGTGGCCGATACATCTTCGGATCAACACGGCTGGTAAAGAAATGGTCGACCTGCTGGGATCGATGCGTACGACTCGCCTGGAACTATGGGAAAGTGACCACGCCAATTCGCTTCCCGACAATCTTCTGATCTATCGTGACGGCGTTTCGGAGAGTCAGTATAAGACAGTACTCGAAAAAGAATTGGGAAGAATAAGAAACACCTGCCAGGTCAAGTACAGAGGCAGAGATCCTCCCAAGATCACGCTCATTATCGTTGGCAAACGTCATCACACCCGAATCTTCAGAAAGACCGTGGCAGGAAACTGTACAAATCTTGAATTTGGCACGTAGGGATACCTGGAAATCGAGGAATTAAGTCCTTCGCTGTGTCCTAGAAGAAAGAGATCGTCCATGCATATTTCCCCTCCCCCTCAACGTTCCTACATTTACTGACAGAACGTGGCTAATTGCAACGGATCTTCAGAGTTGTCGACACCGGTGTTACCGACGCCCGCAACTGGGACTTCTTTCTTCAATCACACCACGCACTCCTAGGCACAGCGTGCCCTGCTCATTACTTCGTCTTGCATAACGCAATCTTCACAAAAGAGTTCGTCGGCGCAACTGTCAAGATTTCGGGTTATTTGCACAAGTTAGCCTACGAAATGTGTTATCTATTTGGACGATCGACGGGTCCGGTCAACATACCACCACCGGTCTACTACGCGGATCTCGCGCGCGAGAGAAGTCGCTGCTACGGGGATTGCGACGATGACATCTCCGACACCAGCTCAACGATAGGAGATGACGGCGGCAAGCCTTAAGAAAGTCGAGCCGAGGCACAATCGGCAAGTTGAGGCCATGGGTCCGGAAGCCAGATACCGAATCGACCGGCACCAAGTAAGCAAGGACCAAGCAATCAAAGACCGAACGCGTAGGGTACGCCAGGGTTCAGTAAATACACCCCGAATAAACCAGGGCCTGGCTCCACGGCACCCGGCAGAAAGGGAGATGCGTTGAAGACAAATCTGCCACCTACAGAGGCAAAAACGCCAGATTTAACGGCTAGTTTGACAAAGAAGGAGAAGGCCAAGTTGTTTGAGGAAAGAATGGCCGCTAGCCAGAAAGCAGCAACGGGGGGGTCGTCGAAGGCGGAAGGAAAGGAAGCAGAAGTCAAAACGGAAGCCAAACAGGGAGGAAAAGCGGAAGAGAAGCTTCCAAAAGGAAAAGCTGGAGGCAAGGTGAAAGAAAAGGGACCCAAAGAACGACTCGCACAGTCGAAAGCCAAAGGGAAGAAGCCGGGACCGAAGTCGGAAGCGCAGAAACCAGGAACACCGGCAGAAATGAAAAAGCCGAAAAGGAAAGATAAGGTGGAGATCAATTTTCCGCCAAGGGACAAGATGTTCTACATCTGACATGGATCCATCGAGAGGCCTCGCTGGATTGCGAGCCCGGAGGATTATAATGTTGTCAGCTGCACGAAATTTATGTGATTTGGTGATGCTCCAACGTTAATGAGGGGATGGTAAGTAGCTTGCTTTATTTCAAGGAAATCGCAGCGCGGATAGAGGATGACTTGATGAATATGAAATGTCGAATAATGACCGAATTTCACTCCAGGGAAGTGTGAGACCAGCAAGGGGTCGAAGTTGACATCTGCGGTAGCGAAAATGAATATTTCTCTCTAATTACCATGAACAAGTGCTGATCGTAGATTTCTAATGAAACGACAACTAATGGAATCTTTGCAGGTGTTGGTAATGTAAGGGATACTAGCGCCATCGGATAATCACTTCCCCCTTCTGGGCTCCTTGGCTGGACGACTGTCAATTTCCTGCGTTGATGGCTTTTATCTAGGAATCCAGTGGGAAGGCAGGATGGTGTCTCTTATGCATCGTGAAAATCACACTCGGCGGTATTCCGAATGCGCTGGTTTCGATTTTCATGCATCGACTAATTATTCTCTGACCCATTGAAGAGAGCGGCCATTCGCGGGACGAATGCTTCCGATCAACAATGGGCGCGCGACCCTAACAGAGCCGCTATGTTGTGTCAGGTCGCACTCTCAGGGCTTCACCAATCGGCAAGTATCACATCATGAGTCTCTCCGATTCATACTGATCTACAGTCGGTCTAGTATTCGATCTGGAAGCTAATCTGATCTTGGATCTATTGAACTAGGTCTTCCCGGCGATTGCTGCTTTAACCTTTGGTCACTTTGTCCCTCAACTCTGATCCAGATGCCGGAACCTTGACGAGTATAGCGGCTGATGAGTAATGCCACTCCAGACTCGGCTCATTACCGTATGCCATGTGAACCATAGCCAGCTCGCGCGGTCCTGGCTCGTTGAACCAGACGATACCCTTGTACCACTCCGAAAGCCATTTCGACTTAACAATCTGAACCCCCAGTCAGCATTTTCATGTTAGGTTGATTGTCCAGTCGACATACCATCGTTGCTGAACCTTCGTCCTCACAGCCACCGACGTCACTTAGAATCACGCCGTGGAGTTTAGCACCAACCAACTCGGCGCCTTGGAGCTGTTTTCGCAATTTGCGGTCATCTTCGTCCGGCATACCTTTCATCACTGGCCGTACCTCGACATCTAGTCCCAAGTGGTAAAATGTCGAGTAGAAGACGGCGTCGATACCTTTGAGAGCATACGGGAGACGGTTGCGGTGATTATCGTTTGTGTGAGCGTATGCGTGTTGGCAGTAGAACCCCAGCACGCCACCCTTGGTCATGAAGTCTGGCGCTTTTAACGCATCAATGAACTTATTGGAGAGCGCGTATTGTTTCAGGTTGACTGATGTGTTTTGACGCATGACACCGCCAAGACGCTCACGCACATACAAGTTGTATGTCAGGGTAATGCGGTGGCCGCTCTTGACCTCCAATACTTCATGCTCGCAGTCACTGTAGAAAGCTGCCCACTGGATTTTGTTTGCTTCCTTCTGGCCCCAGTCGAAGATCGTCTCTAGGCCTTGATGAGCGACGCGTAGTTGACCGCCTTCGTGAGGATAGGGTAGACAGATTACCAATGAGCCGAACTGCTTGGCACCGCGAGGAGTGTCGACGTGGGCACGGAATTTTCCAGAAGGGCCGGAGTAGATCTATGTTGCTTGGGTGTCAGCAAGTATCCATGTTGATTTCGATACCAATAGATCGGGTGATGCTTCTGAACATACATTGAGCTTATAGAGCTCAGCTGCGACACCCAAATTGTCTTCGAATGTTGATTTCCCATCCACAAACGGCTTCGCGATGCCAGGCAAGAGTATCTGCGAGATGGCGTCGACAATGCCAACGTCGTGTGGGTTGAAGTTGGTGGAGAATTGATGCGCGTCAAGCTTCGCAGCCTTGCGGTAAGACTCATCGAGGACTTCTTCTCCAGCCTTGCCGAATGTCGCAGGTGTACAATGCTTTAAGAGCCCTTCGATGACAGCTGCGCCATCAGCAGCCTCGGAAGGTGGCAGTGCCAATTTGCGGACCGTTTTGCCACTGGGAAGATCCCAGCGAAGCACGATAGAGGCGGAGGTAGCTTTGCCGTCGTCATAGGTCAAGTTCTCGAAGCGGCTCAACAGATTTTCTTCATTGTTAGAGAGTTGAACTTCCCCTCCACAGCAAAAAGCAGCTTTCTGGGCCGAAACAGCGCCGATAAGCTGATCCAGTAGGCTCGGCTCTTCGACTTTTCCCTTGGCTAGTCCTTTTTTGGCGGCTGGCATGACTGGTTGTCGTGAGTTATCCTGCTGCTATTGCCTTTACTTCTGTCCACGAAATGTCTCTGGGTAATTGGGGAGTCTGGTTCAATGTTATGTTGTATTGGAATGTGGTGTGAAAGTTGTTTGTTATCAAGAAGAAGTAGAATGGCTGTGAAACCCACTATATAAAGTGTTAGGTGGCTAGCCCTACCACAAGGCTGGGAGCATGTTCCAACGAGTTGAATGATGGAGTTGTCGTTATTATCTGAGTGCTATGGTCCCTTCAAGATAGGCCATGCCAAGACGCTAACGGAGGTGTTGATGTAAGATTTCATCACGTTAAAAGAGAATGCAACTCTCTTAGGATCCTCAGATAGACGCGCTAGCGAGTAGAAAAAGATTCTGCGTTCGATCATGGCGCTAAGTGGCCGAGATTCACTTCTAACCGCCATGGACTGATGCATTGACCACAGGAACCAGGCACTCGAGCAACCAAGCCAAGACACTCGCTTCGCCGGGCTCATCATGGATACGCTCGCTCTGTCCGGAGGATCACACTCAGTATACTGCTTGGGTCTGGCGGAGAAGCAGATGTTATGGGCAAAGCTGGCCTAGTGCGTCGGCTGCAACAGACCGGGCCCTTAGACATTTTGGAGCATTTCTTTCTCTTACATACCACTTTTGAAGCTGTAAGACATGTTTGGGGAATAGAAGGATCGTTTTACTTCTCTAGAGCTCTTCCACTACTCGAATATGCCATAAAGAAGAGACACTGACCCCGAAGCCTCCACAGGTACGCACATTTCAAATTTGTTCTTCCCTGTTTTATACCAAACCTTAAACCACAAGACATAGTATTAGAGCGAAACCCTGCTCCCACCTCTGAGATCTATGTCATTAACCCGGGCTTCGTGCCTTCTTCAAGCAATGGTAATTCCGAATGTACGTAGTAAGGCTCTTCCCGGAGTTATCTTTTCCTGGTTGCGACTGGGTTTGGGGTCGTGAGACACGTTGGAGAAACAACTTCCCTATTTTACCGCCTTCTGGTTCCGAAGGCATGTCCTGTTACTCAAATCTTTATTTACGCATGAGAATGCTGACACAAAATTGTGATAATACTCAGCACAGGAAGACGTCTCATATGTTACTGTTGTGTTTCGATACGGTACACTGGAAATATAACAATCAAGTTTCTGGTAGTCGAGTTTGAGAAGATGGTAGTAAATAGGACTTACGATTTTCGCAAGCCCACATTATGATCAATTTTCTCTGCCCTGAGGTTGAAGGGTCATCAATTTGGACTCACCAGGCCAGAGCTTTATTGCAGGCTATACCGGCATGGCTTTAGGCTGCCTCGGCACAAAGCGGGCGACAGCTAGTTCTTAGCACTTAAATCAGAAAGGCGCCTAGAAGTCGAGCATGAATAAAGCGTAGAAATTGAGAAACCATGGCTCGGGGTAGCCGTTCGGCATTACTGGGCGGAGAAAGAGGCATGATCCAAAGCTAATAGAAGGTGTGTCAGAGATAGTGACGGCTTTGGATCAGGTGTTGTCGCTAGAATTGAGTTTGCAACGATACTCTTCCCTGTGAAAGTTTCCAGATAACAAATTTTGGGGGAAAAGACGATCTCGGGCAAGGCGCCCAAGGCACTCGCGGAGTACTGGTCCAGAATGGTTCGGGTTAATAGCCCATGGACAAGTTCGAAGCTATAATTCAATGGTCTAGACTGGTCTGAGGAATGAGAGCTAATGTTTGAAGTGTTTAGCCCGACATCATTATTTTTGTTGGACTTCATGAATACCTAGACTTGGTCTCAGGGTTTCAGATCGTGCCTTCCCGGACTGCCATTCGTGTCCTAGCTTGTTTTTATGGGTAAAATCGGCGCCATTCTTCTTTGAGGACATTTTCAGTCGTTTTGATATCAGGCCTCGATGTCGTATGGACGATTATTCTGCAGAGTTATGCATCTAGACAGACAGCGGATTATCTGTAGCTTCGACCTGGATCAACTCAGGCACCCAGATCGATGTCCGGATCAGTGGGTGTCTTGAGTACGGGCGAAAATTATGAGCATCTTAGTCGTGGATGAACAAAGAGGCTGTTGCTGAGCTCAACGTTGCCTATCGAGATTCGATGAGATTAGATAAGAAAGAAGCGGTACACAACGGTCTTCCGCAGTCGAAGTAATACTAAAATAAATTGACAGAGTTGATCCTTTAACGCCTTGGTCCGGTGAGGTGGAGGGCAAAAGGGTGAATCGAAAATGGAGTCTCGACTGCCAGCTTGCGTTGCCACGTATCATCTATTGCCAAATGGTAGACGGATTTGGAAACGTACACATAGCTCATGGGGTCAGCGTTAGCGTTGAGAAGAAGATATGCATCCATGTTTCTGTAGTGTCGAGGCTGGCTTGAATAGACTAGCCGAAGCCTTACAGAAAGGCTGAAGGGATTGTGTAGTTTCTATAGCCATTGTGCTTCAGAAGGTACAAGTGAGATATCGGAGAAGGCTAGAGCTAATCGTACGCTCTACTTTCTGTTTGTACACCTTTCCCCCTTTTTCACCCCTCGCCTCCCCCCAAAATTCGTTAGCGCAGGATTCGCAATAGTTCTTCAGGAGCACTTTGCGATGCGGCCCAACATCGCGACACTTGTTCTCTCCCAACGTACGTTTCGCGTAACCCTATGTCTTGTTGAAAAGTGGTGGACGCGCCTGTATAAGATCCAGCGAAACAGAGGAGTATGCAAGCGGGTGTATTACAGAAAGGGTTTTGGAAAGGAAGCGAGGATTCTGTTCACGAGGGTCGCACTCTATAGATAGCAAGATGAAACTGGAAAGACGCCTACGGAGATTGTGTTGAAAACTACCGGAACTCAGGTACTGACGATGATTCGAGCGGTACAAGGTTCTATTTTGGAGGGTGTACATGTAGAGAAAAGGGGTTGCGCCCACAGATTGAGGGGATTGAGGACTGCCAAGACCTTTGGTCAAGGACCGTTCTGTACATATTAACCCGGTCTCTTTAATCACGACTTCAACTTTTTCAGCACCAGACATCATAAACAAGCGGCCAACAGCCAGCGATGATTTACAGAGAGAAGATGATTTGTCACTTTCAAGGACTAAACCCTGAATATACGAGACCGTTTGCTTGCCGGCGGCGCCATACGTCTTCGACCATGCAGGAAAGACGCACGTCTCGTTTCACATAGAGCGCAATGCATGGCTCAGCCGCAAACGCATAGCCTTGTGATTCAATGCCTCACAGCTCCCTCCTCGATCTTTTTTTTCTTCGATTCATGTTAGCTACTTCTTTGTAGCTTGAGACCAGTCTGTCTTACAGCATTTCACGATCTCCCAACTATGTTTACGCTTGTATACCCCGAAATATCAGCTGTTCTCTTAACGTCATGGGCCCTGGCGCTTATTACTGTCTGCCTTCGATTCCTTGCTCGAAGAATTACAAAGGCGGGGTTCTGGTATGATGACTGGCTTATGATACCTGCTACTGTGAGCATTCCCTAAATCATCAAGACGCATGAACTTCCTCAATGGCCCGGTAGCGTAATTCAAGCTCACGTGTCTACCAGCTTTGCGCCACGGCGATAAGCTTTAGCTCGACCATCTACATAACCGCCTCTTCACCCTTATGGCACTTTGCCTGTGAGATCTGCTGGGCCATCGTCATGTGGATTGTCAAATACTCCATTCTAGCTTTTTACTGGCGTCTTTTCAGCGGCAATCGCCG